ATAAACCCTATCAACCGTATCAACCCTATCAACCCTGTAAACCCTACAAGCCCTATAAACCCTAAAAACCCTAAAAGCCCTAAACTTGCCGCCAGAGCCTGCGCAGCGACAGCCGCTCGCAAGGCATCGCGGCGTGGGGAGCTCAGCTGGCAACGAGGGTTGAAGGGTTGGATGAGGTTGAATTAGGGTGTAATTGGGTTTAATTAGGGTCTAATTTGGGTTTAATTAGGGTTTAGGGTGTAGGTATAGGGTCTTTAGGTTGGAGTTTTGGGGGTTTAGGGCTCAGGGTTGAGGGTCTGAGGGCCCTAAACCCGAAACCCAAAACCCAAAACGGTGAAACTATGAAGGTTGGTTTTGGGGTTTAAGCTCGGGGCTTTCGGGCTTCAGGACGGGGACTTGAAATCGGGCTTAGAGAGGTTTAGTGCTTTGGGGTTTTAGGGCCTTAGGGTTTAGGCTAAGGGCAGCTCTGAGCCCGAAACCCGCACCCTAAACCCTTCCGGTTTTTCTCGCAGCTTAGAACAGGAGACTCTCTTCTCCACTCCTGGCTCCCATCCCAACTGGTGAACTTGAGCTCACGGCTTTAGGGTTTTAGGTTGGGACGTTCCCCCTTATACTAACAGTCCTTCGTAGGAAGTATAATTGGGGGTACTATAATCCCTAACTATTAAGGACTGTTAGTATAAGGGGCAACATCCCAAGTTTTAGGAGTTTGGGTTTAGGGTTTAGATAGTCCCAGCAGCTAAACCCACCACAACTTTCGATGCAGCACCTTGGCAAGGTTCAATCCGATCTCGCTCATATGCGAGGTTGCCGGCAAGTGTCAATCGCTCAAGAGCTTGCGACTTGGTGGCAACGTCTCAATCCTTAAACCCTAAACCCTAGACTTTTAAACCCTAAACCCTAAACCCTGAACCCTAAACCCTCTTGGGTCACCTCTTTAGCTTGTGTGGCGTCTGCAGCAGAAGGAAGCATCACCTCGCAGGTTTTGGGTTCGGGGGCTTATAGTGAACTCCAGAAAGTTGGAACATGAGTTTAACGCTATAGAATGATCATTGCTGGGTTTCCCTCTACTTCACCTTAAGGGTAGTAGGATACTGATGTTCTAACTTGCTGGAGTTTACTATAGGGTTTGCTTTCTGGTTCTTAGTACGAAATGAGGGAATTAGGTACCCTGTACTCCCGTTAGAGTTTAGCGCTGTGGGATCTTTGCCTGCAAGCTCATGGGCAGGAATACAAGTGATGAGCTGCAGCGAGAGTTGCATTTTCGCTGCAGCTTATCGTTGCATTTTCGCTGCAGCTTATCCCTAACCCCTGAGCCCTAAGCCCTAAGCCCCAAGCCCTAAGCCCCAAGCCCTAAGCCCTAAGCCCTAAGCCTAAGCTGCTTAAACGCTTCGATCTAGCTGGAAACTGTCTTCGTAGGAGTTGCGAAGTTATGACAGGAAGCGAGCTTGTGGTGGCCGCAACCCATCTAAGCAGCTTAAGTTTTTCAGCGCTCGCGGATGGGACCTCCAGCAACCAACTAAGTAAGCTTGATCACCTATATGGCCCTTCAAAAGGGATGCAGCGAGACGAAGATCCGAATCCCTGTTAAGAACTAGTCCTGCGAGTTGCAGGAAGCTATCCGGCTGCCAGCTCAACTTCGACGAGGACCGCATGCATCAACCTTCATGCAGATGCTGCAGATAAGATGAGCTTCTGCCAGGGTTTGCATCAGAGTTTTGTTGGTGATGCCTTATACATCTGGGTGAAATACTGGGTGTCCTTTTGAAGACACCTCTAATGCAGATGCCACCTAGGTCCAACCTCGTATCTAATCCCATAGCAGCCATCCCTCCAGATTCTTTCAGCCCGGGTTTTTTGGCTTTGACCTCATCCCGCAGAGCATAAGATTTCAAGTGCAGGGCTGCGCACGCGGCGCACCTTGATAAATCTGGACAGGGTTCTATGGTTCGGAGGCACGGGATTATCCCCGAGCCTTATAGGACCCGAAGCACCCAACCCCCAAACCCTATAAAGACGAAACGCTGAACCCTAAACCCTTAACCCTATAACGGACATTCTCCGACACGAGTCTGCCTAAGAGGTTTATAGGGTTTAGGTTGTTAAGGCCGGATCAGAGTCGAGCCTGTTGCCCTTAGTGTTGGTTCGTTGGCAAAGGAAGACGGGGTTCAGGGTTTAGGGTTCGGGTTTAGGGTTTAGGGTTTAGGGTTTAGGGTTTAGAGTTTAGGGTTTAGGGTTTAGGGTTTAGGGTTTAGGGTTTAGGGTTTAGAGTTTAGGGTTTAGGGTTTAGGGTTTAGGGTTTAGGGCTTAGGGCTTAGGGTTTAGGGTTTAGGGGTTGAGGGTTGCCTACTAAGCAAGAGTCGCCTGGGGTCCGCCAAGCTGCTTTCGAGGACTTCATCTTGGAGGCTGCTCCGGAGGGAGGGGGGAGGGGGGAGGGTTTGGGGGTTTAGGGTTTAGGGTTTAGGGTGTAGGGTTTAGGGCTTAGGGCTTAGGGCTTAGGTTTGGGGTTTAGGGTTTAGGGTTTAGGGTTTAGGGTTTAGGGTTTGGGGTTCAAAGGGTGTTATAGTTTAGGGTCTAACAGTTTAATGGGCTTGCTTTGACAGTTGAGGGTCAAAGGTATTCTTGATTTCGGGGTTTAAGTAGGGCGTGGCTTAGCATTATGGGGGATTTGAGGTTTGAAGGGGTGTCCTTGCGGGTTCCGCAGGTTCCCCAACTCCCCAGTGCTCCCTAAGGCTCCCTATGCTTCCCGAAGCTTCCCAATAACCTAACCCCTCTGGAGCCCCCTAACCCTAAACCCTAAACCCTAAACCCTAAACCCTAAACCCTAAACCCTAAACCCTAAACCCTCAACCCAACCCTCAACCCTCAACCCTAAACCGTAAACTCTGAACCCTGAACCCTGAACCCTGAACCCTAAACCCTAAACCCTGAACCCTACAAGAGCAGCTCATCTGCCAGGATGCCTTCCAGACGAAGTCTGGGCATGGCATCGAGGAGCTGGACCTTAGCAACAACGCCTTCCAGGCCGTCCCTCTACTGGGTAATCTAGGGGTCGGAATACTTTAGGGTTTAGGGTTTAGGGTTTAGGGTTTAGGGTTTAGGGTTTAGGGTTTAGGCTAACGGTTAGACATTTGATATTTTCCCTTGTTGTGTTTAAGAGGGTCATATGTAGGAATGTCTTTTCAGAGGGTCCTTAGGGCCATCCCAGTCTAGCGAGCCACTCCATGCACGACCTTCAACCCAAGTCCGCCCGTAGACCCCCAAATCCCGAAATCCGACAATGGCCCTAAACCTCTACAAGCCCTTAACTGAAAAAACTACCCCTACCCCTGTTGCCCTTGTGTAGGGTTGATTGTTTAGGTAGTGTACCGCTAGACTTGGCATGCGGCACCTCAGGGCGTCATGGGCGTCCGCTGCTTGCTCAGGCGCACGTAGGGCTCGGAGGTTTTCTGGGGGTCTTCAAGTCTCGTCTTCGCTAAACCCTAAACCCTGAGCCTGAACCCTCAACCCTAGACGGGTTTCCAAAAGGGTTTGGGCTTTGGGGTCCCACCTCTGTCGAATCGGTGGTGCTCAGGCGGAAACGGTGCAGACTCATCATTTGGATTTCGTGTTTATGGTTTATGAATTTGGAGTCCCTATACAATCCCCAAAAACTAAGGTACAACAGGGACCCAAGATCCCAACGAAAAACGGTTCGGTGATGGTCTGCAGACCAGCCATGGAGAATTCTGAAATAAACCCGAAATTCTCAGCCCTGAGCCCTACAATTGCAAGGTCCTCTCGAAGCGTTTAGGACTTAGGAAGGTCTAGGGGTTTGGGGTTTAGGGTTTAGGGTTTAGGGTTCAGGGTTCAGGGTTTAGGGTTTAGGGTTTAGGGTTTAGGGTTTAGCGGGTACACCGAAGCCGAAGCACCTTCCCAGATCTGTTAACCAGGATCCTTGTGACGCACCCGAGCCGCCTGGCCAGGAAGCAATGCTCATGGCAGACTGGGTCCCTCAACCCCTTGGGTTTAGGGTTAAGGGTTTAGGGTTTCTTCTTCATGAGCTGTCTAGCCCGGCTGGAATTTCGCGTCATGAGGGTTTAGGGTTTAGGTTTTGTAAGGCCTGCGAGCCTTCCACCCTAGGCCCAAACTTGGACGTGAGGGCTCACTGCAAAATCTCCCTAAACCCTAAACCCTAAACCCTGAACCAGGTGAACGGGGCTGGCGAAGGGTTTTTTTGCGGTTGAGGGCTTCTGATACGCGACGCCGTGCAATCGCCCACGGGCGGATTGACTCGGCATGCTTGTTGTAGGCCCTATCAACCTTACTTGTACTTGTAAACCCTGTAAACCCTGTAAACCCTGTAAACCCTGTAAACCCTGTAAACCCTGTAAAACCTGTAAACCCTGTCAACCCTGTCAACCCTGTCAACCCTGTAAACCCTGTAAACCCTGTAAACCCTGTAAACCCTGTAAACCCTAAACCCTAAACCCTCTAAACCTTACCCCCCTAAACCCGAAACTCAACGAAGCCTGCAAACCCTCAACTCCATGCCGGTCGTGCCCAGGTCTCCAGAACCTGCATCTGGTCCAGATTCGCGAAGCATTGCCCTCCTGTGTAGCAGTTCCTTATGATGCTTGGCAAAGGCAAGGTTTAGTAGGGTTTAGGGTTTAGGGTTTAGGGTTTAGGGTTTAGGGTTTAGGGTTTAGGGTTTAGGGTTTAGGGGTTAAACTTACCAAAGGCAAAGCTCTACAGGTCCACAAAAAAGAAGCCCCCTACTTTGCGAAAGCCCCCATGTAGGGGCATACTGTTCAAGGGTTTCAAGGGTTCGAGGGGCGTGCTTAATGCTGGGCGCTTTACGGCTGCCTTGCTCAGGAGCAGATTGCGCAAGGCATTCAGTGTTCCAGGCGTTTACGGGCCAAGGCCTACAAGATTCTCAGAGCCCCTCAAAGCCCCAAACCCTAAACTCTAAGCCCCTGGCAAGGTGTTACAGGACCATGGTATGATCCTGACCACTGGCCATGTCGGCTCAATGTAGATTTGCCGCAGTCTTTGCAATACACTTCGTACCTGCGACCATGGGAGGGAGATACTTGGTAGCCCAGTGGTACACTTTTCCCTTTTTTTTGTTCCGGGTTTAGGGCTCAGGGACACGTAACCAACCCAAATAAAACGGTGCCCTTATCGTCCATATGGGTTTCTGGGCTACCAAGGATACCGCCTTTTTTGGGCCTGCATCCTCTTCGCTGTCTCCCTGGCCGTGAGACATAAGTCGGAGTCCGAAGTGGAGGCCCTGGCTTTTTGGCCTGTGCGATGCGAGGGTTTAGGGTTTAGGGTTTAGGGTTTAGGGTTTAGGGTTTAGGGTTTAGGGTTTAGGGTTTAGGGTTGAAGCGGGACTTGTAGACGGCATGCCATGGTCCCTACATCCAAACGGTATGCGGTGGCACCTTGAGCTCGGATGCTTCTTCGTGCAGGATGGCCTCGTGGATGCTGAACAGGACGCCTGGCAGGTTTTTGCGCAAATGTTTCTAACATTACGGATGGCGAGCCCAAGTAGCATGGTACTTGATATGCCGCTGCTGTTTCAATATTCCGTTTCCTAGAAGCACTGTTTTGCTTATAATTCGTTTACTACTCTGACTGTAGTCAAAAACAGCGAGTTCAAATAAATTAGCGCACAGACCCAAAGCTCGAAGCTTTTGCTCGACTTCAAGTTGCAGAATTAGAGTCGGGTAACCGCCGGGAGCCTCTGCTTTAAACGCACGGCGGATTCTCTCAATTATGGACCCCTTGTTTTGGCGCACCCTAAATAGAAGGCTCCGTACTTTAATGATAACAGCCTCTTTTGGGGCATAAGACAAGACCACCGGGAAAAAAGAAGATGGAAGCTGGTCTGAGATTATGAGCTCACATCGACCAGTGACCTTGCAAGACAACCCAAAGCCCCAAAAACGCCAAGACCCCGAAGACGCCCCAAGCCGTAAACCCTAAACCCTAAACCCTAAATCCTAAACCCTAAACCCTAAACCCTAAACTGTGCCCAGTCCAAGTGCCAACAAGTCGACTGGCCAGGCTCCCTGCAGCTGCAGCGGCGTTATCGGATTGGAGTGCCCATGCAGCAATTCCGCCATTCAGCTGCCCCTTTCCTGCAGTTACCAAGGGTTTAGGGTTTAGGGTTTAGGGTTTAGGGTTTAGGGTTTAGGTTTAGGGTTTAGGTTTTAGGGTTTAGGGTTTAGGGCTTGGATCAGGCCCGGAACCCTGAACCCTAAACCCTAAGCCCTGAACCTTTTCCCTAAACCTCAAACACTCCCCCTAATCAAGACCGGTGACCGAGAACATATTGCAGGTTTTACCTGCAAGGTCCTTACCTTGCTTTTTGGGAGGGGCGAGGGCGGCTGGCATTTAGGGCTTAGGGCTTCGGGTATCGGGATTAGGGTTCAGGGTTTGGATTTAGGGCTTGCAGTTAAGGTATCAGGGTCTAGGGTCTAGAGAGTCTCAGGTTTGGTCAAGGGTTTAGAGATAGGGCAAGGGGAGCAGGGAACAAGGTTTCTGGGCTTGCGACGCTGGTTTTAATTCCCAGCCAATGTTTCGGTTCTCTGGCGTGTACTTACTGGAGATGACCAACTCACTCTGCTCCATAGGGTGCTAGGGTCAAGGTTATAAGGGGTAAGGGTTTAGGGTTTAGGGTTTAGGGTTTAGGCTCCAGGCTCTAAACTTCTCCTACACCAGGTCGCAGCAGCAGCGGCGTAGTGTGGCCAAGCTCAGTCGCCGCAGTCGCCAGAAGCGTCGTGGTCAGAAGGCGGGGCTTGCAGGGTCTCAAACCTTAAGCCTAAGCCGTCAACCCTCAGCCTTAGGGTGTAGGGATTCAGGCCCCTAAACCCTAAACCCTAAACCCTAAACCCTAAACCTGGCGGCTGACTGCAGATGACTACTTTGCAGGTGAGGTTTTTGTTCGAGGAATTTCACAGTCAGAGAGAGGAGCCCAGAGTAGGCCCCTGTTCAGGCTGTAGGGCTTGAGGGCGACTGGGACCCAGACGAGGCCCCTATTCCTTTTTTGTTGCAGGGTTTAGGTTCCCTTATAAGTCCCGGTAAAACCAAGAAGGGCACCCCTTTTATTCCTAGGCTACTCTTTGGTCTAGGAGAGAAGAGCCTCCACTTCGTGGGCGTTGCGAGCCTAAACTCTAAACCCCGGGCAGTGGCCCGGGGGGGGGGACCCCGCTACATATTCCACAACCCGCAAGCCCTGCAACCATACCCGTGTTTTTGCCCAGCACCTTTTAGAGAACGATGAATATGAAATTTCTGAGCCCTATGAGATTTGCGTCTAGAATAGTCCCTGCAATGTCCCCATGTGGTCGATTGCATGAACACTGGTCCCCTTTTGGGACCCCGGTTTTACCACAGGTTTAGGGCTTAGGGTTTTAGGGTTTAGGGTTTAGGGATTATAGGGAAGTGCGCAAGAAAGGACCACGATGTAGATAAAGAGCTGACGATCCAGTCCCCCTTGATCCTCATGACATATCTCTATAGCAGTAGCTATACTCTCACCCCATTGAGTATCCCAAACCCTATAAACACTAAAAAGCCTACATCCTCAACCCCTAAACCCTCAAAACCCAAAAGCCCTAAAGCCACCCGAAATCCCTCAAACCCGGTTCCCCTAAAGCCTTAAATCCCTGAAAGCCCGAATTCCCTAGCCCTAAACCCCAATCGCTTCCCACAAATACTTAACCCCTCCCTTTCATGAAATACTATTTTTCCCGGAATCCGGCACCCAGCCAAATACTACTCAACCTGTTTGAGAACTAGGGGGGAGGGGGGGGGGGGGTTTCAGGGCCTCCGCCCTTGAGTTGAGCCATTAGGGCTTACCCTAAACCCTAAACCCTAAGCCCTACAAGCCGATTTCCCAGATGCGGCGGCAAGCTGATCCACCAGACAATCCTGAAGGTGGGAGCCGGGATTAAAAAAAACGTGCTTTCGTGGTTTAGGGTTTAGGGTTTAGGGTTTAGGGTTTAGGGCGAGACGACATGTATGTGGGGTTGAGGGTTAAGGGTTTAGGGACAGAGATACTTGCGTGGATGATGGACAGGCTGCTGTAGAGTGGAGGGATTTGCATCACGGCCCGGGTAGATTTCCCAAAACACTCTACCCCTAGTATACCAAGTATCGTATAGACCTTCTATAGGAACCCAAAAAAATCCAAAAAAAGGGGCCACTTATTTTCGGAAACCCCCAACTGGACCCAAAAAAGGGAAGCTCCAGATTTTCGGAACGCCGCATCTGTTGCGACGCCAGGTGGTGAGGGAGCTGAGTCGCAGGAAGCTGGGAAAGAGGCGCGACGGGACAGCGGATAGGAGGGGTTCATTCGCGAACTTCGTGCTCCCAACGGGCCCAAGTAGCTCAAGGGCCCAAATACATGAGTTTTTGACCGGAACAACAATTCCGTGTTGTGCACAGAACGACGTCGCGCTGCGGTGGCCTTCCCTAAGGGCGCTGTGTACCTAGATGGTGTACACCTGGGCTTTTCAGCACTTCCTGCAGAATGACTTTAGGGCCCATGCCGGGGCTTACGAAAATAAGGGACCCCAATATAGACCCCCAAATAGTGCAAATAGTAGGATCCCCATATCATCAGGACTCCAATCAGGTACCCCTAATTTCGGAAACCCTAAACCCTAAACCCTAAACCCTAAACCCTAAACCCTAAACCCTAAACCCTAAACCCTAAACCCTAAACCCTAAACCCTAAACCCTGCGGGTCTGGCTCTTACGTGAGGAAGGGGACGAGTGCGTAGAGCAGGGCCTGACGAGCAGCCAGAATGCCGGCCTCTCAGTCTTCTGATGTTGGTTTAGGTGGGGTTTAGGGTTTAGGGTTTAGGGTTTAGGGTTTAGGGTTTAGGGTTTAGGGTTTAGGGTTTAGGGTTTAGGGTTTAGGGTTTGGGGGCCCTGCCCGTCTGTCTTCAAAATGTGCCAGTCAATCTCTCCTCCTCGGTAGGACCTGGGGCACGCTCCCTTGACAGGATCTAGCCTTCAGGTTCATATGAAGCCCAACATTGGGCCCTGGAGTAGGAATATTTGCGGCTTTTGGGGCCAACCTATTCTCATCTTCGGGGAGTGTGGATGTTGGACAGTTTACGAGCGACCAGCTGGTTTGCAGTAGGGAATGAGGAAATTAGGTTTCTTATACCCCCTATGCATATATGTCATAGATATATATATATATATCTATCTATCTATCTACACCCTTTAAGGGATTACAGAGGGTACTTAGTGTACTTAGTTACCTCATTCCCTATTCACAGCCAGTAAGTCAACCAGATGACTCCTCTCAACTCTGAAAGCACGGGGGCCTAGTTGCGGCACTGAGGTCTGGATGCAAGTTGGCCCACTTGGACGCTTGGCCCAGCTATTCACGGAGACCTGAAGCTTGTGCAGTCCCACGGACATAGGGGCTGAAACCATCTGAAACCGTAAACCCTAAACCCTAAACCCTATACCCTAACCCTGCTTGCTTAAGCCCGCCTAAACACCCCAAGATCTATACTTGCACGAAGAGATTGGGCCATGCGGCTTATCGTGACCTAAGTGAGAACCAGACGTGGGCGCGTTGTTCTCTCCAAGGTTGGATGGAGCTGCATCCGGGGCTTCGGGTTTCGAGTTTCGGGTTAGGGTTTAGTGCTGAGGGGTTCATGTCCTAGACAGGTGGTGCATAGATTCCACGCCAGGCCCGAGTGTGGAAGGGTGGATGGACGTTTAGACGAGGAGAGGATGCCCAAGACTGGGAAGGCTGGTCTTCCCAGTCGCCACGCGACTTCGGTACTAGCGAAGATCCCACCTCAACCCATGTATCCTTACGGCCGAATTGCCTGAACCTTCAGCCCTAAACCCTAAACCCTAAACCCTAAACCCTAAACCCTAAAAGCCTAAACCCTAAACCCTAAACCCTAAACCCAAAACCCTAAACCCAAGCCCTAAATCCTAAACCCTAAACCCTAAACCCTAAACCCTAAAGCCTAAAGGAATGTTCGTCGGGTTTCTGCTGACCTTGATGCTCTACGTGGAGTTCGTCGAAGTCGTCGCGCCTCCGGTGCCTGGGCCGTTCATAGCCCTGCAGAGAGTAGACTTAGTGTAGAAATCCCTACAAGCCCTAAACCCTGAACCCTAAACCCTAAACCCTGAACCCTAAACCCTAAACCCTGAACCCTAAACCCTAAACCCTAAACCCTGAACCCTGAACCCTAAACCCTGAACCCTGAACCCTAAACCCTACCCACACAGCGACCAATAAGCCCCCTTAAAGGCCCCTTGAATGCCATGGAATCCCTCAACCCTTTTTCGGCTCACTGGCCTAGTGGGGCTGCATTCTCCGATTCTGATGGGAAATCGTTTGAGATATCCTCCCCAAACCCCAAACCCTATACCCTAAGCCCTAAACCCTCAACCCTCAGCCGAGAAGCCTTGCCCTGAACTTTGGAGACCTGCCGGCTCAAGCGTTCAGGGTTTCGTGGACGTTAAGGGATTTTTCGGGGGACGTGTTGGGGTGTTCAGGATTTGGGAATTTGGTGAAATGTTGGGGAGTCTTTTTCGCCTCGCAGTGCTGCTGGCTCCCTGAACTGGCGAGACAGGGGCACTTGTTGAGAAACGACCAAGTTTTAAAAAACTTGCGCCCATGATCATTGGAGAAGTTCCCTGAACCCCTAAACCCCAGACCCGACATCGTAAGGGAGCATCCAGCCCTGGAATCCGAAGTCGCAGCTCTGGGGGCAAGCCCTAAACCCTAAGTGCTGGAGGGGGGGGGGGGAGGGGAGTTGGTTCAGGGTTTTGTTGAAGGATTTGGTAGGCAGGTGGCTAAACACGGGTTTACACCGGCCCTTACACTGCCAAGATGGCAGGTGGACGGTCGCGTTGCCGAAGATTCTTGGCCGCCCTGAGATCCTCAAGCCGTGTGTCGGTCTGGCCCTGAACCCTATCGAAGTATAAATCAAGCCCTAAAAACGTACAATAAACCCCAAAAACCCTACAACCTGATAAGCCCTAAAATCCTGCAAATCCTAAAGCCCTTTAGACCCGAAGCCGCCACAAGCCGCTCAAAAACCAGCCGCGAACACATTGCACAACCAATGAGAACCCTAAACCCTAAATCCTAAACCGTAAACACCCTGCTTGCAAGCCCGTAAAGCATCTGAGCGCTGGTGAGCCTGAACCGCAAGGGTGTAGAGCTCAGGCTTTGGGATTAGGTCCATGTACCTAAATGGTGCGCACACTCGTGCTTCTTAGACAGACAGACAGACAGACACACACAGTGTTTGTGTTTGTGTGTGTGTGTGTCTGTGTTCAAAGTGAGGAGATTCACTAGGGGCTAGCGCCAAACCCTTTTAAACTCCCACGTAACCACCCTCCACTTAGAGCCTGCCCAGGCCCGAGCAAGCCAAGCTCCAACCCTCCAACCATGAACCACTTCCTATGGAATGACTTTGGGGGCCCATGTGTGTGCCATTTAGGTACAATGACACGCAGGGGAATAGAATCCCAGGAAGACCTCTCTCTATGCCCAGCACTGACATGGCTAAGGGAAGCCGGCCATTAGGGGTTGTTGGCTTTGGAAATCAGATGAGGGTTAGGGTGGTAAGGGTTTAGGGTTTAGGGTTAAGAGGGCTTGGGGTTGAAGAGGGCTTAGGGCTTGGGGTTTAGGGTTGGTGGGGTGTGACTGACAACAATTCACACATATCGCAATCACGTATAGGGCTTATAGGGCTCTAGCCCGCTCAGACCGATTTATCTTCAGGTGCCTGACGGCGTGGCGTCCTTCGTCATGAAGCAGCTGTGGGGAATGGGGGTGGCCAGCTCTGGCATCAACGTGCGGCGCTGAGAGTTTTGTGCTTCAGTGCCTCCGCATAGGGGGAAACAGAGAAACTGGAGCCCTTAGGGTAGGCGCGTCCTCCTTATTGAGGCTGCCTACTAGCATCCCAGGGTAGGGGTGGGCGGTTGGTATTGTTTGTCTTTGTTTTAGGCGTGCATATACAAAAGCTATGGGGTGCAGGTAAAACATTCATAACAAGCCTAAGTCAAGCTACCAGACTTATGTCATGCTGAAGTACAAGGGCCTCTCTCGTAGTTGGGTAGTTTATAGTTTCAGAAGTTTAATACGTCCCTAGGGGCTATCGGTCATCATCGTGCGTTCGGGGCCAAAAGTAACAGTGGTTAGGGTTCAGGGGTGCGTATTCTCTCTCTCTCTCTCTCTCTCTCTTTTTCTTTTGGGAGGGGAGGGGGGTGGGGGGGGCGGGGAGTGGGTGCAGAACATCCTGCAGTTGCCCTGAGGCATTGATCATTGCCGCCAACTCAGACTCCAGCGCTCAGCTTGTGGGGCTTCAGATGCTGCAGTGATTCTAAACCAACCCCAAACCCTAAGCCCCAAACCTTTAAACCCTGAACCCTAAACCCTATACCCTAAAGGATCTTTCATTTAGAGAGCAGGCTTTGTCTCCAACCTAGTGTTGAGCACTTGACTACTCCCAAGTCCTTCCCGACAGCCTTAAGCAAAGAAAAAAAACAAAAAAACAAAACAAAGCAGGCAGCAGGAACTCTAACACCCACCTGTTGGTAGGGTAGGGGTGAGGGCAGCAACTGCTGTCCTACCCACTTGTTGGTAAACCCTGAACCCTAACCCTAAACCCTAGCTCGTTTTTGTTTCGCTTTCACTGCGAGTGCGTTCTGCAGGCAACGCTTTTTCTCGCAGTCATTGCTTGGAGTTGATCTTGCACTTTCGGCAGCTCTGCCCGCTTAAACCCTAAACCCTAAACCCTAAACCCTAAACTCTAAACTCTAAACTCCAACCCCGTCTTGGGTTTCAGGTCCTAGGGCTGCTGAACTTCTACACCTACGCAGTGCGCACCGAGGAGGAGATGATTCGGGTGCTGGATCCCTTAAAGTTAAGGCTTAGGGGTTTAGGGTTTAGGGTTAGGTTTAGGGTTCAGGTTTTCCTGTTTAGGGTTTAGGGTTTAGGGTTTAGGGTTTAGGGTTTAGGGTTTAGGGTTTAGGGTCTCTAAACACCAGCTAAGCCCGTATCTTAAAGCCCCTGTAGGGCCCTTGCAGCAGCGATCTTAGCAGAACCCAGATTATGTCCAGCATGTTCGATGTGGCAGCTGCTCTGCATACAAGTCCCCAAAAACAACGTAAGGTCATAATAAGGCAGGTTGCCTTCTTAATGAGTAGGGATGCCCCTGCCAGTGTCGTGCCATAATGTAGGCCTGCTTGCTGGACGGCAGCAGCATATATTTAGAAACCCTTGTGCCGCTTGCACCCCCCTGCGCCCCATTGCAGCCCTGCCCCATGGAGGCCCAGTAAGATGTGATTTCGTCTGGGGGTGCAAATGGCAAAACCATCCAGAGCCCCAAGCTCTCAGCCCAAAACCTCCGCCCAAATCCCCAGCCTGAACCGGGTTTGCGTCACGGAGCCGTAAACTCTAAAGACTCTAAACCCTAAAACTGTGTAAAACCCAAAACCTCAGAAACTCCTAAACCTAAACCCGAAACCCCATACACTAACACTCGAAACACCAAAAGCTCTAAACCCTAAACCCTAGAAACTCTCTACCTTGAATTCCAAACTCCAAACCCCTTACACCCTAAAGCCAAAAAGGAGCTCGACCCCACGTACATTTGTCTCGGCCTGCCTTTGGACCACGCTGGGCGACTCGCTCGTTCAGGGTTGGGGGTCTTCCTTCGAAGCTTTAGGGTTTCAGGGTTTCGGGGGTGAGGGTGTAGGTTTTTCGGGTCAAGGTTTCCCTTCGAAGAAGATTCCCTTCAAAGAAGAGCTCGCTTGACCTCCGCAACAATGTCACCGAACCTTTACCTATAGGCCCTTATTTCCTCCTTCTTTCAGGATAGGTTCCCCGTGAAGCCTTGTAACCCTTTTCAACCAAGAAGAGCACCCTTTCTATTTCTAGGTGAATTCCAGACCATTGCTACTGAAGTCAGGGAAACTTGGGGGTGTTTTGGGGTTGTTTTTGAATGAGGAGTCTATAGACTTAACGGTTTAGGGTGCAGGGGTTGAGGTTCGTAGAGGCCTTAGCTTTTGATGAAACGCCTGTGAAATCAGCGATTTCAGTGGAAGGACGCCGTGCTTCAGTGACCCACAAGGAAGGGGGACCCCAACAGCAGCAAAAAACGGGTGTTTTCAGGAGCTTGCCAATTTTGGGGGTTCCTCGTGGGGTTTGCAACTCAGCAAACACCACGGCTACTAATGATGGTACGTGCACCTGCCATTAGTATCACTAGTTTGAGGACCCCTACTAAGTTTTCGGCCATGTTTTGTTCGGGGCGGTTTAGGGTTGATACAAGAATGCTCCTCACCGCGGCCGGGATCCATTTGAGGAAGCGGGTGGAAGTCTTCTCCATCGCAGTTTTTGCCCTCATCACCCTGTCACGCTTGGCTGTGGCGCCTGGGTCGATTCAGACGCACAGGGGATCCATACACCCGGCTGGTGATGCTTAAACGCCGAACGGAGATTTTACGTGCACACGTAAGCATGCATGAATAAATAGATAGACACACATATGTATACATGCATGTGAAATAGTTAACATGTGTGTGAATGTGGTATATATGCATATATACACATACATATATAGATACATACATACATGCATGCATGCATGCATGCATACACACACACACATACATGCATGCATGCATGCATGCATGCATACATACATACATACATACGTGTGTTTACATGCTCCCTTGTGTATTGCTGTCATGGAGGGGGCTGCGTGCTAGTCCCAAAACTTTAAGTCTTCAGGCCCAACTCTCCAAAATTCTCAACATCGAGTTCCAAATCTCCAAAAGCTAAGGACGCAGACTTCCAAGGTTCAGCATTCCCAAACTCCAGAACAGAATGGCATCTTTGATGTTTCTGCATTCTGAGCTTTTCGATCTTTGAACTTAGGTTTTTTGGATTCGGGGATTTTGACAATTGGGGATCAGAATTCCGAAGCTCCAAACAGCGCATAGAACTTGTTTGGCCTTAGATTCAGTGAAATTGGTGAAATTTGAGCCTAAAGCTTATGATGAAAGGTTTAGGAATTGCTGCCTCCTTGGCGCGTGACCTTGAGGGTTTAAAGCCTTCGTATGATTTATACTTGTGGCAGAAACACGTGATAGCAAAAGTAACTTTTATCGTCATTCAGATCTGAACACGATTAGATTTAGAGGCAGCAGGACAAGTGGACCGAATCTAATTGATACCTTTTACGGTGCAGCCCTTTTAGTACTATTCTGAACATTACCCCGTCTCATTTTTCAGCTTGACAATTTGATTAGTAAATGTAGTTGTGAGCGAGGTGGAAGATTCATATAGTCTCGGGCCCAACTTGATTAACTACAGTGCCTGCATGAATTACTTGAAATTCAGTAGCATGCTGAGTGGATGCACTTGGGGCGGGGGAGCAAGCGCCATTTTTCAACTTCTTGAAATAGTTCAATTTAACAAACTTACTAATACCTACTTGTGAGGAGCAAGGCGAATAATTCAGATTTCAGGGAGAAGTGCGCGAACTCAGTTGCCGACACTCGTTTCAATAAGTAGCATTCCTAATGCTTAAATACATTCAGGGGAGCAGTAGAGCAGAGTTATTTCTCCAACTACCGCATCGAACTTTCAGCTTTGGTAAAGTGATTAACTTAAACAAACTAATCCCTGATCATGAGGAGGAAGGCTCGTACATGCAGGACTCTTTGCATTAGTTAACTGAATTACCGATCTTCTGTACATCAGCAGCATATGTTCTAATGTTCAAAGTTTTCAGCTTTGGAAATTTGACTAGCTTAAACAAGAAAAGCTCTAAGTCAGAGGAGGAAGGGGAGCATATTTAAGCTTGCATTTCATGAGGAGGTAGGCTTATACATTTGAGGGCCAACTATTCTCTAAATTGCCTGCACTAAACAACGAATGGCGTGTTGTAAGGGCGCACAGTATTTTTTTGCAAAATCAGTGAAACAATCGCAGATTTCCGTGTGCTGGCGTATCATTTGCGGGTGGTCGCTGCAAACATGAATTAAAGTCTGCAAAAGATAGTTGATTAAGACTGGAGTTTTGGGGCACCGAATTTATTCTGTTAGATGACATTTCTCTACACATGCAAGGGAGATACAAAAGTGTAGTCAACCGCAGATAAATGAATGTTGTCTGCCCATAGCATTCCCGAACATGGATGTCGCCAGTTCCTAAAGGAACAAGACAATGGAGATAAGCTTTCAAGCGGCTTTCTCAGAATGTGCCCTTTGACCGGTATCTGAATTTGCATCCGAACAAAACTATGCTTCTTTCGTGCCTGCCGATGTTTCCAGAGCAGGTGTTGGTCTGTATATATTCATATCTTTATATATTTTTATGTATAGATGTATACATATGTCTTCTACATTGGGGCCCAGGCATTTCCCACAGGGGTGTGCACACGTGAGGGCCAAAGTGCAAACTCCTTGCATCTAGTGTCTAGGGGTGCAGTTTCTTGTAGTCCGCACGTCCATGCCAGAACCACTATGTAGACACATGTACATGGATCCCTAAACCCTAAATAGACCCCAAACCCCAAACCCGAGACCCTGATGCAAGCTTCTCATGCATGACCGTAGCACTTCTCGCTTGGCATTGCAGGTGCACACGCATCCTGATTGGAACCATTTTGGACTCTCAGCTGGGCCTCGCTACCTGATGTATCTTACATGCACAGCTGATGTATGGTTTAGGGTTTAGGGTTTCGGGTTTCGGGTTTGGGGTTTAGGGTTTAGGGTGATTTCTTCCACGTAGGGCGGCAGTTACGGTAGGGTATATTTAGGGAGAATGAAGCCCGCTCTGGGACAGGCTGTTTGAGAGAACTGCTCAGGTGCAATATCTACATGGTCCTGGAGGCATGCCGGGCCGTGCTAGGGGTCTTGCACAGGAGGTTCTTTAGACGCTGCTTTGGGGGTCATAGGCTTCAGGACGAATTCAAAGAAGCGTCGGATTGTTCGGCCCAAACTTGCTTTTCAGAGCGTTGAGTGTGCAGCCGCATACTTCCACTCCCAGACAGCGAGGTTCTGGCACTGGCTCTGACGTTCAAGGGGCTGATGACCGATGAGACTCATGTCGATGCTTGGCCACGTTGTGCCAGTCTTGAAGCGTTGCGGTCACTGGTGCCATCTAGGGAGGATTCAGTGAACTTAGCCCGACTCCTTAGTTTATCCTATGAGATGGGGGTCAGGGTCCACAACAGTCAGCCTCAGCACATCAATATAGTCATGAAGTACCGCGCGGTCCACTTCAGCAATTGAGCTAGCTTAAATACAACCACTAGCAACAACAATAGCAAGCGAGATTGATGCCAGTTCTCCTGCTTTTGAGCAGTCGGCGTGGAATCCTAAATCCTCAGCCCGAAACCCTGAAAGCTCCGGGGCAGTCGCAAACCGAAGCCAAGACAGTGCAGATAAATGTACTTCTTCTTGCAGTCAAGTTACCACGTCGCGCCTCCTAACCCCCAAGAAGATGAACAACCCGAACCTTGAATCCTAAACCTGCACCCCCTCAAGTCAAAAGCACCCTAAACACTAAACCCTACACCCTAAACGCTTGACCCCTAAACCGCAAACTCAAAGCCCTTCCAGGACTTGCTGTGGCTCTTCGTCGCGCGGAGCATGGAGATGCTTGAGAGAAGCGGCGCAGGTCTCGGGGTCAAGCGCATGAAGCACATGGCTCCTTGCTCCAAGTTGGGCAGTTCTCTAAATTGCAGAACTCAGAGAAGTGCCCGGGCTAAGCCTTGTAGGGAGGGTATGGCTAGCAAGATTCGCGAGGCAAATTCGTCCTTGCTAAGGTGACAGGTTCGGATTCTTTCGTTCAGGGCCTTGCCAAGGATTGTACGGTGCAACTTTATTACCTTCCCTCTCCTTGCGAACTTGACGCCTACAACTTCCAGCCGGAAGGACTAAAGCATTGCCAAGGTTACAGATGATGGAAAGCTGCTGCTAGTTGCCGGAGTATTTGGCTTGGTCATCTGGCTGGTGATGACTCTTGGTTGGGACATAGAATCTGGTCGCGCGGCGCAATGTGCATTTAAAATGCCCCCACAATGCTGCCCTAAGCTCTAATGCTCCCTAAGCCCTAAACTCTATGCTTATGCTTATCTAGATAGGCCCTTGCGATATAATTACATTTCCTTCTATTGGGTTTAAGAGGATCACGGTTAGGATTTTGGTCAGAGGGTTCCAGGGGCCATCCGAGTTAAGCCCCCCAGCGCCCTGAAACTCGCTGATGCAGAGGAGCGGCTTCTACTTCGTGGCCAACCGCTGCCTGATCTTGAGACATCGAGCGATGGCCTTTGAACCGTGTCAACTGCAGAGGGAGCCGAAACCCTAGAGTCTAAGAAGTACTCAACATACTTTTCCTAAGCAAAATTCATCGGGAAGAGAAGTCGCGTAAGGAGTATGCTAGAGTTCCTTTTTATGTTCTCCTCTCCAGAGCTCATTTAGGACTGAGATGCCGAAGCTACGGGGGTGCTTGGGGGGTTCTTACATAAGCCGGAAGAACTGAAAGCCCTGTTGCCTTCGTTCTCTAGTCCCTCAGTCGTCAGAAGCATGCAGAGCTATGTCTTAACTTTCTCGTCCAGACAATGTCTACCTGTTTATATCTGAATGAATGACTCTAATTTTGGGGGTCGTGAATGCGAGTGTCATCTGTTTCCCTCTGCATGACCACACTGGGTACCAGCTTGGTGCGGACTGTTTCAACATTTCCCTTAGGGGCTTAGGGTTGTAACGGTTGGAGGTTTTTGGCGCAGGGTTTTTGGCTTGATTTTTGCCCAGGTTCCAACTGCGCCATCATCTGGACAACGGAGGAGTTCAAATGGCAGAGGCAAGGCCCTCCCTCCCGAAAAATTCTAGTGACTAGGTGCACACTGTCGTACCACAGAAAGGAGCTGCACCTTCTACGCCCTAGCTTGGGGGCCCTTCTTGGTTCGTCGGATCTGTAGTGGTCGGGTTTGCTTGAACACCCTCGATGTGGCTTCATGCCTGTGATGGCGGTCATTGGGCAGGTTCACCTCCATTCCCTCGTCCATGTGGTACGTCATGATCAACTTGCTGAAAGAGCACCCTTTGGCCGAATTCCACGCCGCTTGGCGTGAGGAGGTCCACCTGGCTGGGCTTTGGTCTTCGTAGCTGTAGGCGGCTTGGCTCGTGGGCGCCGACAGCCACGCCTAACGCTGGAAGGCAGAACATGAAAGACACTAAGCCCTAGACCCTAAACCCTGGACCCTCAACCCTAAACCCTAAGCCCTAAGCCCTAAACCCTAAACCCTAAACCCTAGACCCTAGATTTGTTCTCCTCTTTAGCAGCCCTTCTCTTTGGCTGCTCAAGCCCCACTTCCTGGTACTCCAAGGAGACGCTGCTCTCGCGCACACTCGCGCCTCAGCAGAGGTCGAGAATGGTTTAGGGTTTAGGATTTAGGTTTTAGGTTTTAGGTTTTAGGGTTTAGGGTTTAGGGTTAAGGGTTAAGGGTTTAGGTTTAGGGTGCAACTTCCGGCTCAAGCCGAAGGTCACAGACAGGTTTAGGGTTTACAGGGTTTGTAGGGCTTATAGGGTTTAGAGGGTTTAGAGGGTTTAGAGGGTTTCGAGGGTTTAGAGGGTTTAGAGGGTTTCGAGGGTTTCGAGTGTTTCGAGAGTTTCGAGGGTTTAAAGGGTTTGTAGGGTTTAGAGGGTTTGCAGGGTCTCTAGGGCTTTGTAGGATTTAGGAGCAAGATATCCGAAGCCTGCCGCAACTGTGATCCGTCGCTTCTGCTGCCCGTTGATTCTAGTTTTCAGAGCTTCTTGACTAGGAGTCCCCCAAACCAGCCGCGATTTAAGGCCTCCTAGGGCCTTTCAGGGCTTTTAAGGCCCTTTTAGGGCCATTTTTTGGGAGTTTAAGGCCCTTTTAGGGCCAATTTAGGGATTTTAAGGCCCTTTGAGGGCCAATTTTAGGGATTTTTATGGAAGCCTCCAAAGGGAGTCTCCCATCTTGAGGTGTGCATCTGCTGCATCTTCGCGATGCCGCTGTTCGCGCTGCCATCAAGTCATCGGGCTGCCAAAGCAAGCCTTAATCAGGGCCCCTATGCACCCTAAACCCTAGACTCTGGACACCAAACCCTACACCCTACACCCTACACCCTAAACCCTAAACCCTAAACCCTAAACCCGACCATAAACTCTCAACCCCCTCAACCCTGCCCTTGAATCCTGCACCCTGAATCCTCTTGTGTTTGGAGGTAGGGTTCAGGGTTCAGGGTGTGTTCACTAAGCCTCGTCCCCTTGGCTATTGATCGCAGAAGCATCTTGCAATGCTCCAGGACAGAAGAAGTTCTGTAGGCTTGCGGGCGTTTGACCAGGATGCGGAAGCCCGCAAAGTCTCTGAGTAAATAGGCTTGTCTGCTTGAAAAGGAATTCTCCCGAAAAGACAAGTGTAGGTAGGACGATTTTTTGGCGGGTTTCTGAAGCTCTTCCTACTTTCGGCATAGAATCTAAGGCGCTCGCAGCCCTTTCGCGCCGATGTAAACGGGCTGTGCTCTCTACTACTATTTGCTTAAGAACCCCCCCCCCCCCCAAAAAAAAAAAAAAAAGGACGACAAGAATCCCCATGTTGCCCTAGGCATCTTGCAACACTCCCTCTTCCAGCGTGACGAGATGGAAGACGCTGAGGAGGCAGGGAAGAGCCGCACCCTAAACCCTAAACCCTAAACCCTAAACCCTAAACCCTAACTGCAACCTTTATGAACCCGAGAAGTCCTGCAAGTCCTAAGTTTTTTTGTTGAATCCCAAGCCTATAGCGCTAAGCTCTGTAAATTCGGAGCCTCAAAGCTTAGACCGTCGTCCAGCACCAGACGTTTCATCCTCCAAGCTTTTTGAGACTTTGAGCCCTAAAGCCTAAACCTTGTGATGTCCCTCCTTATACATACCAACAGCCCTTAAAAGGGATGATCGTAACCCCTATACTAGTCCCTGTCTAAGGACTGCTAGTATAGGGGGGAACATCCCGAACCCCTCGAGTCGCAGACAAGAAACAACCCCCAGCCTTCAGCCTTCAGAGAAAAGCTCGAAGGCAACTGCAAACTCAAGCCTCCCGCTTCTATATATCGAAACCCTCAATCCTTGAATCCTTGACCCTGAGACCCTATACGAATCCTATGAGCCCTGTGAGACTTATGAACCATATGAACACTATCGTCAACAACTCTAAACTCGATAGCTAAGCCCTAAATGCGAAACACGTCAAACCCTCAACCATCTTAGAAACGCGAGAGGGGATCCAGGTCGGGCTTACACCGTGAACCCTAAACCCTAAACCCTAAACCCTAAACCCTAAACCCTAAACCCTAAACCCTAAACCCTAAACCCTAAACCCTAAACCCTAAACCCTAAACCCTAAACCCTAAACCCTAAACCCTAAACCTTCCTAAGCCCTACCCCCTGGGTCAGGGCTTAATGAGCTTCTTGAGGTGGCAAGAGCTGGCGAGGATGCGCACACGAGACGGATGACCTACCAAGCTGGCTCCCAAGTCTGTAGGGTTTCGGGTCTAGGGTCTAGGGGTTTAGGGTTTAGGGTTTAGGGTTTAGGCTGAGGGTTTAGGGTTGAGGGCTTGCTTTTGTCCAGGGGAGTTGGTGGGGTTTGTTGGGTTTCTTGTGGTTTTGGGCTATCTGGGGGTTATTGTTGTTTTGGGGCGTTGTTGGGGCTTACTGGGGTTACCACTGGGTTTATGATTTATGTGTTTTGTTTGGTGTCATTGGGGGTTTATCGGGGTTTTGGGAGCTCCAAAAATCGAGGCAAATAATTTTAAGCCCTGAACCTTAGCCAGTCTTGATTCAAAGCCCCCATTATAAGCTTCCGCGATGGGTATAAGTCGTGCCCCTAACAAGGTTGTAACGCCGAGTGACCCTGCTTGGAACCCCTAAGGGCCCGTCCATGTGCCTAAGCAGCTTCCTACTTGGGCCTCGAAGTACTTCCTACATTCTGACTTTGGGGCCCATGTATATACTCTTCAGGTACCTGGGCCCTGAGTGACCCATAAGCAGCCTCCTACCTAAGTTAGCCGTTGTAACAAACTCCAAGTAAGCCCCGGAAGTCGTCATGCTCAGGTCGATGCCGCCCAATTGCTGGAGCTGCAGGCCGTCAGTTTAGGGTTTAGGGTTTAGGGTTTAGGGTTGGGCTTTGCTTGTGCTCAGTGGTGCAGCTGGCATGCCGGTGCGACAGTCAAGCGCTCATGCGCGCGCTCCTCATTGCATGTGATGGCTTTCGGGTGTGCGCCGGCCTGCCTGCAGCATAGTTGCATTGTCATGCAAGGGTCCTCAAGAGTAGGTGAGCATGGCTCAGACTCTACTGTGTGTGTGAGCATGCCGAGGGTGTTACCTTGGGTTTTAGTCCAAGGAGAGACTGTATCTTGTTTTGCCCTAAACCCTAAACCCTAAACCCTAAATTAAACCCTAAACCCTAAACCCTAAACCCTAAACCCTAAGCAGGAAGAGTCGAAAGGCCAGCTGCGCCCAGGCTTTGCCACTGGGCTCAATAGGCATGAGCGGCGAGTCAGCACCACCTGGTGGGCTTAGGTTTCGGTTTCTAGGGTTTAGGGTTTAGGGTTTGGGGTTTAGGGTTTAGGGTTTAGGGTTTGCCTGCAACATGCTGAATGCAGACTGACGACGTTTGCTGCATCCACCCTCTTCCTGAAGACCCTCCCGGGCATCGTGAGCGAAAGCAGCTCTCTTCCCCAGGATGGGTACTCGGAACAAATTTAGGGTTTAGGGTTTAGGGTTTAGGGTTTAGCTCTGCAGCTATGCGTGTACAGGATTGAGGAATACCGACATGAACTACCCTACATCCTAAACCCTAAACCCGAAACCCCAAACCCTAAACCCTAAACCCTAAACCCTAAACCCTAAACCCTAAACCCCGGCAAGCATCGCCTAGGCCACCGCCTTTCTGGTGTTTGGCCGGCATCTCAGTCTCCTTCGCCGTGACTGCCCGACCAAGTCAGCCTGTGGTACGCTGCTCTTTCGGACTGCCTTGCCTGCTGTATCTCACACAAGAATTCCTACGATTAGCTGAAGAACCCTGCAAACAACAATATAGGGATGACTATCTTTTATTTCGTGGAAAGTTCTCAAAGTAAATAGTAGATCCCTGCAACATGGGCGGCATGAAGTCACCCCTGAACCCCAAAACCCGTCCCACTGAGGATCCATCTTGGCCTACTTCTACTACACCGCCAGGGACACAGACCATGCCACCTTCTTTACGGCGCCGCGCTGTTCCTGTTCTGGGCAGGTCTTGAGGATGTGTTGAATGCACCCTTAGCCCTAAAACCCCTGAACCTCTGTTTAGGGGTTTAGGGGGTTAAACCTAGACCTCTAAGCGCCAAACCTTGTAGACCCTAAGCCTCCAAACCTCGGTTTGTAAGCCCTCCAAACCCTACAAAACCCTGTAAACCATGTAAAATGGGATGTTCACCCGTATTCTAACAGTCCCTAACAGGGCTGATAATCGGGGGTACTATCATCCCTATTAAAGACTGTTAGTTGTTATCAGGAGAAACATCCCAACCTGCAACCCAAACACTTGTGGCAGGTGCCCGTCAACGTGACGAAGACCAGCCTCGCCTACATCGACGGAGCCGTTGCCATCTGCTTCCTCTGTGAATATGCACCCTTCTCTCAATCAGGTAACACTAAACCTTAAACCCTAAACCCTACACCCTAAACCCTAAACCCTAATCCCTACACCCTAAACCCTAAACCCTAAACCCGAAACCCTAAACCCTAAACCCTAAACCCCAAATCAAAGAGACTCGGAGAGGCCAGCAGGTCGAGTCTCGGCGGTGGCTCCTACGTCACCTCGGGGTCTCTCGGCTGGTCTTGGGGGAACCTGAGGGGCTGGAGGAAGGTTCGGGTTTAGGGTTTAGGGCTGAGGGCTGAGGGGCTTAGGGCTTAGGGCTCAGGGCTCAGGGCTTAGGGCTTAGGACTTAGCGTTTAGGGCTTAGGGCTGAGGGCTTAGGGCTTATTGGGGTTTAGGGTTTAGGGTTTAGAGTTTAGGGTTTAGGGCCTGGGCTCATGGTCTTCGTGACATGTTGGCTAGTTCAGGGAGCCCCCCTTTTGTAGGAACGGTGTATATATATACATATATATGTATATGTATATAGATATAGATATAATTATGTCTATATATATATATGAAGAAATAAAGCCTACACCCAATGCTCATGCTAAGGAAACAGGGTGCCCTCATGGGGGGGGGGGGGGTGCGTCAACCCCACACACTTCTAAGGTACGGAGTGGTCGACCTGCTGGCCTGGCTGCCAGGCGGGGGGCGGGAAGCCCTACACTGCATTTTGTGACGGCGCAACTGCTTAGGGTTTATCAGGGTTCAGGGTTTAGGGCTCTGTCCTAGTCGCACTTGGCTTTCTAGAGATTGCCATTCGTAGTACAGTCATAAATCATGCAAGGCTATGCAAAAAAAAGAGATGAATCCCTTGCGCACCTGCAAGCCGCCGTGCCGACCTGCTTCCAAGCTGCGCAGAACGACTCCAACAGTGGCAGGTGTAAGACCGCCCGGAAAAAGCTACAACCCGACCTCTCGAGCACACTACAAACCCTGATAGGGTTCAGCATTCAGCGTACATGCGTGGGCAAATCTACCAGGAACCTCTATTTATGGCCCGAGTGGAAAAGCAAGGATGGGACATGATAGCTCATTCTTCGAAATCCCGAAGCGGCCGGGCAGTGTATTCATAGGGGAGTTCTCGGTTCTTCGGGTGTATAGGGTTTTGGCTTTCAGGTTTAGCTTCCGAACCCCAAAATCTAAAAACCCCAAATTTCTCCCTCGTGCCCCAGCTATCCCACCTCTTCTACCCACCCCTCACAATCCTAAGACCTTGGGAACCTCGAAACCTCCACCCCCTAGGCCCTAAATCTTACAGCTTCCAGAAGGCTTGCTTCACCTCTGCACCTACGAGTCCATGGCAGACAAGCACCATGAAATCCTCTGCGCTGCTTGCGTTGCCTGGACGCACAGAGGTCTGTGCTGTCCGCGATGCATCGTTGGACTCGGTAACAGCAGTGCTTTTGACCGATGATGTGCCGAAACCACCGTTATTTGCCGTGGTTTCGTCGCGCAGAGCATGCTCAGAGCACGATGATTGCGTCCATGTTACAAGTGCACACATTGACCAGAGCATCCATGCCTGCACAATGATTTCGTCCGTGTTACCAGTGCGTGCGAATGGCCAGAGCATCCATGCCCGCACGATGATGATGTCCGTGTCTGAAGCGTTGCCTGCTTTTGCCCGCCGCATGGAGCATTCAGTGCAAGTTCGAGAACAAAGCCTTGTTTGCGCGCAGCCACTCTGTGCGCCGACTGTTGCTTAGGGTGGTAGGTATTCACCGTGTTTTTTCGCAGCGTGAAGCTTTCAGAGACAATAAACAATTACAGGATTTTGCACTCGTGTTCGTGGTGGTGTTTACAATGTTTTTCGCCGTGCGAAGCTGTCAGCCACAACGGAAACTTTTTTGCGCGGGGTTCCTGTGAGCATCGAGTGGTGTTTGCGTCGGTATTTACAGTGTTTTTCCTCCGGCCCAAAATGCACGCGCTAGCAACCCGCCCGCAGCGTTGTTGGTTGTACTTGGGGTTGCCAACCTTGTCTCTTACTGTTTAAAGTTTACAGGGTCTCTGCTTTGACATGGAAAGGAGGATAGTTGCAACGGAGAGGTGGGTTGAGCGGCCTACAAACAAGAAACTGGGGATGGCTCATTCTCGTTTCGGATTTTGACGATGTGGAATGTTGAAATTAGGCCTGTCTACAGAAATTCTAGCAACCGGGGCCAAAGTAAAGTAAGCGCAACAGATACGTAGAAGCAGGTGTCGCAGCAGCTAGTGCTGAGGTTCTTCGGATCTTCAAGCTGGAGCGGTACCTGCATTCCTTCCGGGACATGTTGGACATTGTGAAGGCACGGACTCGAGAAGTGAATCCAAACCGCAAAGCCGAAAAAATTCCAAACCCCTAAACTCTTTGCTTTCTTCCTACTCTGACTTCGGAAAGCTCCCTCACTGGCCGAGGCTACACAGTGGCTAGGTCGTTGCTCGCATGAACTCGGGTTTGAGTAGTCAAACTCAGGGCAATCAAGCGTGGTAGGAATGAGTTTTAACTGGTGCCCTTCATGGCAAGTGCAGGAGAATGGTGGCATACTCACCGCAACTCTGGCTGCCTGACTGCAAGTGAAGTAGGACTTGCAATCCTTGTTGGAGCAACGCCGCCGCCATACACTGAGTTTCGTTTCAAGATCGATTCAAAGGCAAGTGACAACTCGCCCGGGAATAACAAAACCAGCAGGACTTGAACACGCCCAGTACGCATCGCCGATGAAGAGCTCACAGATGCTCCACATCTAGCACGGGCTAATTGGAGACAAAGGGACCCCAAACAGTTCGCAGACCTGAGCCTGACTTCCTTCATTAGTCCCAGCTTCCCAGTGCTTGTTAGGGAAAATGACGGATGTCGGATGTCGGCAGAGCGAACAATACAAAACCTGATTTGCCTTGCTCGTTCTGCTATATTGGACTTCGGGAGCTGCTGAACAACGGTCTTCATCCAACCATGCGCTATCATTGCCACCTGCGCAGATCTGGACGACACATTTTCTACCAGTCGCTGCAGTAGCGGAACCGAGCAGGGGCGGGGCAAAGGGCGAGGGGGGCTAGTAGTGCTGATCGTTGTCATTGTAGTAGTAGTTCTTCGCAGGCGTGGTGGTGGTAACAGCTGGTGAATCGTAATCGCAGACGACCCTACACCCACAAACCCTAAACCCTAAACTCGAATAAACTCTATGTTGAACCTCACAGCAGTCATCCCAAAATCCTGAACCCTACCAAGCCCTGTGATGCTTGAGAACCCCACCACTCTTTGCCCTTGTCCGCAAGAAGCAAAGGTACTGTCCATGTTTGTATGGATGTTCTTCTCAACTGTGCTCTTCCTGACAGAGAAGGTGCGCGCCAGTTGGAATGCTGGTCTTATGGGCCTTCTTCGGTGTTGTTGTGCCTACAAAGATAGCCCTAAACCCCAAACCCCAAACCCTAAACCCAAACCCTAAGCCCTAAACCCTAAACCCTAAATCCAAGGAAGTTGAACTGCATTGTTGCCCCGACAGATGGGCCAACATGTGCGGTTCATCGCGGCTTTGTGCCAAGTGCTTCGCGCATGCAGAACTAGGATGTCATCTCTGGTCCTGCAGCGCTGAAAAATCCAATGCATCGTTGCGGTTGCCCTGATCTCCTTAAACCATAAATTTCACCCTAAACCCTAAACCCTAAACCCTAAACCCTCAACCCTCAACCCTAAACCCTAAACCCTAAACCGGGTGCATCTGCGCAGCACAACCCCGACGAAGAGATGAACGATGAAGTCTACGGCTCGGTGATGCGAGCCCTGTGGTCCGAAATCATCAATCTGCCGCTGGGCATCGTTGGGGGTAAGTGTTTACAGGGTTCATAGGGCTTCGGGATCATCTGCTCTAAAGTTTAGGGTTCATATACATTCAGGTTCATAGAGTTCATATACTAGAAAGTTCATAGGCGATTCCTAGGGTTTCACAGGGTTCGTAGGGTTCATGGGGGTTCATGGGGGTTCATAGGCGATTCATAGGGTTCATTGGGTTCATTGGGTTCATTGGGTTCGTGCTCAGAGCTTTGGAATGGCTTGCAGCTGCAGGATTCCGACCGTCACAACCTAACACCTTAATGAATGCTGATACCCTAAGACCTACACCCGAATACCCTAAACCCTAAACCCTAAACCCTAAAAACCCTAAACCTATAAACCCCAAACCCTAAACCCCAATGCCCACGGCCCGAGGCATGGCGAGTGGCCCTGGGCCGACTACACTCCCAGGGGCAAGGCATCAGCTTGCGTTGGGGGGAAGGGGGCGGGGGAGTCGTTTCTGAAGTATGGGCCCTTGGGTTTTGCATGTGGGGTATATAAGGGGTATACAAAGGGTTTAAGGTCCAATTTTAAACGGACCATGGAGCTGCCCTGAGACAGCGTTACTACCATAACCCATAAACAATTTCCTAAAACAGAACGATAAGCTTTATAGGACCCGTAAACTCTACAAGTCCGAGAAGCCCTGCAAGCCATCATAGGGGTTCGAGGAATGGAGGGGCTTTGGGGTTTGAGGTCTTGAGGGCTCTGGGTTCTGGAGCTTCCGGGGCGGAAGGTTAGGATTGTTTAGGGTTGAGGGTTTAGGGCTTAGGACTTAGGGTGTAGGATGTTGTTTTTCAGACAGGAGGCGGCTTGAAGGCATGAGTGTATGGACCTTACTCCCACGATTCTGAGCCCTTAAAACCCTACATAAGCAGAAAAGCTAAGTCCTGCAAACGCGCCTATAATCCCGTTAAATAAAGCCTATAAACCCTGTAGCTCTGGAGTCCCGAAACATGTCTCAAAGCCCACATGCAGGCCGTTGGAACGGTGATCGGCTTTTTCAGCATCATGCTCTTTTGCATCCCAATCGGTATCTTCGGAGAAGGCCGCGCTGTTAGTGGATACAATTGTCCGACTGCAACCAGCCCAATCAATGTGTTGGTGCAGTTTGCGAGTTATTATTGTCCTCTTTCTTCTCGTCTTGCTTCTTGCTGGCCCAGTGGTACCGGTTTCCCTGTCTTGTCTCCCGGTTCCCTTAGAAAGTAACAACCAAAAAAGGTGGTAACATAATCTTCCTGAAAAGGGAAATATGGGGATTGTTTTTTGTTGTTTTTGTTTTGTCGGGCTTCTTAAGCACATCGTAGTCTAGCGCAGCACATGCATGGCCAGTTGGACTCCGGTGTGCTCCTTCCTCTGCTTCTGGGCTCTTGGCCTCGGCCTCTGCTTACGAAGGAAGGGTGGGCTGGGAATCTACCGATGGTAGATCTCTCCAACATGAAGCGCGGAACTGACCCTAACCCTAAACAACGAACCCTGAACCCCAAACCCCAAACCGTTGGCCTCTACTCCTGCGCGTCTCATCCAACAGTGTCTTGGGCTAAGGGTAAAGGTTAGTATGCAACCAGCTCGCCACGACTTCATTGCAGAGCTCCCGGAAGCCTCCTGACTGTCCCACGTAGGAGCAGGGTTTGGGAAACTAAACCCTAAACCCTAAACCCTAAACCCGTGCGTTGTCCCCCGCAGGTTTCATGGAGAGGGTGCGAGCAGACAGAGAGCTGTCCCACGAGGACGCCAGGTTTTCGGGGTTTAGGGATTGCTCGCGTGTGCAAGGGTTTGGGCTTAGGGTTAGGGTTTAGGGTTGAGGGTTTAGGGTTTAAGGGGTTTGGGGTGTACCGTAAACCCTAAATTCCTAAATCTTAAGTCCTATAAACCCAAAAACTCGGGCAGTTGAGCGTGGAAAGCCCTGTGCTGAACGCATTTCGGGTCTCGGGATTTGGGAAGCCACCCTCAGAGCCCCAGATGGGGTTTGGGTTTTTGATTGCCATGATTTCGGGTTTTGGGTTTAAACCCTCCCTCACATATTTTTTAGTAATTCAACGCGGGTTGAGATGGATATGTTCTTTCTGTGGGCCCTGAAATCCCTCTAGAATCATATATATATATATATATGCATATATATATATATAGAGCCAATAGAGCCCCTACGGCAGAAAATACATGTTGTAGGCCCCCCCCTCCCCCCCCACCTAAATCCCCGCCCCAGAGGACGACGAGTTCGACAGACGTCCCTGGCAGGCCTTGTGTTTGTGTGAGGGTTTTTTCTGGCCTTGTTGGGTTGAAGCTTTAGGGGCTTCAGGGGCTTAAGGGGGTTTAAGAGGGTTCAGGGGGCTTCAGGGGGCTTCAGGAAGCTTCAGGGGCTTCAGGGCTCAAGGGGTTCAGGGTTGAGGGGTTTGAGGGGATTTAGGGATTCAGGGGTAAGGCTGAGGCCATCCCGCATCCCCAACACGGAAAGCTTGGAAGATTGGATTCAAACGCCAGACAGTTCTCAGCCCTCGAGGCTTGGGCAGCTCATCGTGTTCAACCCTAAGCCCTAAACCTGAAACCCTAAACCCTAGACCTGCTCCCTAATCCCCAAACCCTGATCCCTAAACCCGAAGCCCTGAAACCTGCCACGGGCCTTTGCTTCCCTCACGCACGGCTTCAAAAACAAAACCCTGAGCCCTAAAAACGTGGAGCATTCGAATCGGCTGGCTCCTGAATCCCACCCCCCCCCCCCCCCCCAATATCATATTCCGTATCATCATGCAAAGCATTTCAGGGCATCTCCCAGACACAAATCCCATTTAAACCGGTATGGCCGGCCCTGATGCCCAAGCCCTTAACTTTTTTTGCCCTTATTATCTGCGTATCCCTATGAAGTCAACAAGCTTTGAACCCGAAGCCCTATATGCTCTAAAAGCCTAAACCCTGAATCCTAAACCCCAAACCCAACACCCCCTGAACCCTCTAAGCTCTAAGAGCCCAAGCCAAGCACCACCACACGCTTCTCTGCGAGGAATGTTGCCGGCCAGAACCAGGTATGCGGCAGAAGGCAAGGAGCAGGGTTTAGGGTTTAGGATTTAGGGTTTAGGGTTTGATCCACACCGACAATGCCAAATGAAGAGCTTGCCCTGGTTTCGGGCGTGTAGGGCCGCGGGTTTTGTCGTGCTGGTGTGGTTCCCTGAACAGTCGTTGGGCAGACTGCAGATTGGAGATCGGATTCTCAGCGCCAAAGACCTGGGGATTCAGGTTGGAGATGGCTGGAGGGGGGTTTAAGGTTTTTAGATGGCTGAGTCATAAACCGTAGTAGCTGAGTAGATAAAATCCTACCACAATTGAAAGGTTCACCTTTTTTGGGCCAGGGTACTCAGCAACCAGGAACCTCAACTAGTAACAGTCAACCGGCTTGCAAAGTGGAGGTCTATGACATGCTTTATCAAGACCTACATCCTAAAGTGCATCCGACTCGCACGTCGGGCGCTCAGCCGCAGGCTTTCTCTGACAGTACCTCCAGGCCCCCCCTCCCCCCCTCCCCCCCCTTCCCCCACCCCCCAAAGAAAAAATCAAGCAAACATGTCATTCCTAAACCCCTTAACCCGAGCGGGATTTAGGGTTTAATCAGGGTTTTGGAGCCATGGGTTTCTTTGAGGGATGAGGTTTTTGGGTTTAGCTTCAGGGCTTTAGGGTTTGGATGTCAGGCGGGCGGGACTTCGGGTTATCTTGTGGCCTGCCTTTGCTCCACAAGAGGAGGGGATACCCTGAATCTGAACTTTATCAACTCCCTTAGCCCTTAAGGCCTTAAGCCCTAAAGTCCTAACCCCAAAGCCCTGAGCCCTAAACCCCCAATCTGGCCGGCCACCTCAATCTCCTCGAGGCTGCTCTTCCACATGGTCCGAGGCTGCTCCGTTGTGACACTTGGCTGGCTTAGGGGTTTAGGGCTTAGAGCTTAGGGCTCAGGGGTTTAGGGTTTAGGGCTGGGGCTCGGGCCTTCGGGCTTAGGGGTTCAGGGTTAGGGCTTAGGGGTTTAGGGGTTTAGGGTTTAGGGCTTGGGCCTTAGGGCTTAGGGGTTTAGGGTTAGGGCTTAGGGGTTTAGGGTTTAGGGTTTAGGGCCTAGGGTATCGCAGCAAGGATGGTCATCGCCACCACCTTCATCACGGCCGTCGCCACCGTGGAGGATTGGGGCGGATGGAAAGGTCGAGCCAGTGCCGGCATAGAGTTGGGTTCACAGTTCACAGCTAGGCTAAGGGGTTTAGGGTTTAGGGTTTAGGGTTTAGGGTTTAGGGTTTAGGGTTTAGGGTTTAGGGTTTAGGGTTAGGGTTAGGGTTTAGGGTTTAGGGTTTACGAGTTAGGGTTTACGGCAGTTTAGGGGTTTAGGTTCAGAAGGGTGCGCCAGGCTTTGCTGAGAATGCTGCCACCGCAAGCAAGGGGTGAACGAGATGTGGAGCATGGCGTCCCATGTGCCAGAGTCGCTAAGGAGATACGACCACCACTGTGGGCAAGGTCTTCTGGGTGGCAGCTTGGAAAGCAAAGGAGGATCGAATGATGGGGTTTAGGGTTTAGGGTTGAGGAAAGAGTTCCGGGTTTGGGGTTTAGGGTTCAGGGAGAATACTCCAGCTCAATATGGACTAAAACCCTGGGTACTGAATACTGGTAGAAGCAACTGCCTCAGAGGGACTGGGTGAAGCCAGTACCCTGTGAAGTGGTACTGTAATGGAGGCGGACATTTTCACAGACAAGAAATTGAAAGCTAGCCCCAATTTAGCCTGTTAAATTGGGGCTAGCTTTCAATTTCTGCGGGGAGCCTGCCGGCTCAGTGCCCGCGGAAGTGGACGGTGAGGCGCCGGGAAGCGGGCGGGAGATACGATCTGCTGGCGGAGATCCAGAAGGCATGAAATAATCAAAATGAATATTCGTTGTTTACCTGAAGCCCTGCGTCCACTCCTAGGCGTATAGGGTTTAGGGTTTAGGCTTGCCGGCAGACTAGGGCTGAGGGTTTAGGAGCACCAAATGAAGGTAGACGTGGTGGGCACGGCGTGCGGGCCTCAGGCAGTAGTCTGGGAGACAATTTGTGTTCGCAGCTTCTCTTCGGCCATTGGCCTGCTGGAGGATCTGAGGGTATTCTAGGGTCTGGGGGTTTAGTGATTCTTTCATGTTGGCTCGGAGTTCGGAGTGGAGTTCCGTGGAGTGGGTTGTGCGGTGTGGGTTATGTGAGAAGCGTCTGCGCCTGAGCTGTCCATGCAATCCCTTCCCCCCGCCCCCCCCCCCCCCCTCGATTTCAGTTGTAGTTGTCAAACATCCCCAACCCCAGCCCAACACTACACTTGCTTGACAGATAGGGGGGTAGGGGTCCGTAGGGTTTAGGGTTCAGACTAGGGCGAAGGTTGTGGGCCTTGGTTTCGGGAAATACTTGTCCGGCCGGGCCGAATGGTTTTGGAGGTTTAGGGTTTGGGGTTCAAGTGCTGTGGGCTGTATTGGGGAAGCGATGCAGCTAGCAGACCATATGTTCTGTTCCTTAGAGTTGAGCTGCTTGGGCAACTGCTTATATTTCGGTGTAAGTTGAGACTTGTGGCTTCGAGGCAATATACCACGACCCAGAGAAGGCCCTTATTCGCTCTTTTTGGGGATTCGGATCCCGCTGAACCAAAACGTGCACCTGTTTTGATTCCTAGGTTACTCCAATACCAGTTTCTAAACCCAATACACCAGCTGCTGCCGCTAAGATGGTTCATCTTGGAGTATTTCCTGCGAGTTGTGGCGACTGGCTGGCGGCATCCGACTTCCTTCGTTGGCTTGTGCGACTCTTGAATCAGGGTTAAGGGTTTTGGGTAAGTCCGAGCACTCTAAAGGGGCCGCCCGCATATGATCAAACTTACTTGGAAGTGATACCCTAAACCCTAAACCCCTAGTCCCTAAACCTGCTGCTGCTCGTCGAACAAGTCAGTCAGTCAGTCAGTCTGTCTGTCAGACATGCTGTGCTGAGCCTATGAGGTTCCTCGAACCGCTCAATGTTCCATAGTAGCAAGGGTTTAGGGTTTAGGGTTTACGGTTTACGGTTTAGGGCTTGGGTTTGGGTTTTAGGGTTTGGGGAGGCTCCGGTTTGCGCCCTGCTCATCATTCCGTGGCGGTCAAGCGCAGGGTCTGGACAGAGGTTCTTGCTTTTCGTTTCTGCCCGATGAGGACCTGATCTCTACAAAACCCTATGGAACCCTACAAGAGCCCCAAAAAGCACACCTAAAACCTCAAAACGCTCGATGAACCCGAGAGCCCTAGACGCACCCACCATTGTTCGGGTTTAGGGTTTGGGGTTTAGGGTTTGGGGTTTAGGGTTTGGGGTTTAGGGTTTAGGGTTTAGGCATAGGGTTTGGGGTTTAGGGTTTAGGGATAGGGTAGTGAGGATCTGATCTCCATCCTTGCCTTTTCCTACACGTTGAACCCGAAGAAGCGACCGGAAGCCTTCCGGCCAGGTCGGGGCTTTTTTGATGGGGGGAGGGGGGGGGGGTTAGGATTTAGGATTTTGGGTTTAGGGTTTAGGGTTTAGGGTTTGGGTTTAGGGTTTAGGGTTTAGGGTTTAGGGTTGTTGCCGGATATTTCGGGGTCACTGTTTGGGGTTCCAAGAATAAGGGCCATCACTTAGTCAGGGAAATTGCCATGTCAGGGATAAAGGATCTTGCTGGCAAAGTTTTCTACACAAGGGGCCAGTCTCGAGACAGGCCTAGATGAACTGCAATGCGGTTCTCATTGACTGCTGTTCAGTATGTATTCTTAGAAAACGATGAACACGTGCCTTCGTCTTACCTTTCCTTGTGACCCACGTATCGTTTTTTCATGGAGGTTATGAGGATGCGCACTACCTGGTCGACAGCATCGTGCTCCTTCGACTACTCCGTGTTTTCAGCCTGGTGTCCTGGTTGCCCATGAGAGGGAGAAGTGGCTTTAGGGTTTAGGGTTTAGGGTTTAATGTTTAGGGGCGGTGGAGTTTTGGCAGCTGTTGTAGCCCCTAACAGGGCCGAAGTTTCTGAACTGTGTCTGGCGCTTCCCGAGCCAGTCTGCAATGAGCTGGAGCCTGCCTCTAGGGCCAGAGTTTTCACACGAACAAGTCTTTCTCTGGCCAACTGAGGAGAGCTACTTCTATTCCCTGCACACCTTGCAATGTGTGCGCAGTGCTTAGTTCCGGTTGTGGTGGTGCTGCCTCGATGTGCATCTGTTGCTGCGCTCCCTTCCCTCTGGACTCTGGACATCAAGGCAGTTCTTTTGCCAGAGCACAACGTGGCCTTGTAATTGCTCTTGCAGATTTCCTAGGCTCCCAGATGAAACCCTGATGTAGCTCCCTAGGCTTTGGCTGAACAAGTGGCCACTAGCAAGAGCTGGCGGTGCGCTCGTCTCGACTTGGTTTGTGCATGCCACGCTGCTTCTAGGCTGGAAGCAGCAGTTGCGGTTGCCTGTAGAGGTTTATAGGGTTTCGTCTTTTTTGGTAGTGCGGAGGGGGTCATTTAGCACGTGCAGGGCATCTGCGAATGAAGTTCATGGTTCAGCCACCGTTCCTGTAAACCTAAGGCTCCTAAGCCCTGGAGGCCCTAGACCGTTGAGAGTGTTGGCTAGGGTTTCTGAGCCTTATGCTAGGCTCTACATCTGCGAGAATCCGAGAGCTCTTGGTGGAGCCATCCCACCGCCAGGCAGGGTGCTCTCCTGTGACTGCTGCTTAGTTGATACCTGCCAACCCCAACCTCCTAAACCCATGACCCTAGGTCAAAAAGTTTCAGGCTCCTAAACATTCCTAAACTCTTCTCTTGACTCTTAGCCCTTAAATCCAAAGTTTCAGGAACTAAGATAGGGAAGAGATGGGCATCTAGAGAGTCTTTCGTACGGCCTATGTGGCCTCTCTCGCATCTCTTCTTTCTCGAAATCTAGCTCCAGCGAGGCCGAATTAACCCTTATAAGCCCTAAGCCCTACATCCTTAGAAGGAGGAAGGTGACTGCTGGTGGGTGGGAGAGTGGGTGGGCGGTGGTGGTACATACAGCACGCAGCACCGAACGTTGGGTGGGAACTCTGGTTGGCATCTAAGGCTTTCTTGGTGCAACCAATTAAACTTCTCATAGCCCTCAAAATAAAGCACAAAGACATCTGCAGCATTATGAACGCCCACTGGTTCGCGCAAAGAAGCCGGCTTACGAAGCACTTGCAAGTCTCAGGGTCTTCTGGAGGGTTATTAAGGAAGTATGGCCCTATAGATTTCATAGCTGGATTGTGTGTGTATGGGTTGGTCGTACTTAGGCAATCTAAGTGTTTAGCAGGAGACGGGGCATGATATCTCGCTCCAGGATTTCTGTGCTTAGGTCACTTATACCATGGGTTTTGGTAGGTTGGAGATATTGGTAAATATTATATATATATATATATATATGGAGTAACCCTATATCCTCAACCCTGAACCCTAAATCCTAAACCCTACTATATGTATATGTACATAATTACATGCTGCCCAACATTCCTGTTCTAACTACATGGGCCGCTATAGTAGCTGGGGCAGGCGAGAAAGGCGAGGGTGGCGCCGAAGAGGAAGAAGACGATGGCTTGTCGTAGCCCGGCATGTGTCAGGGTTTTATCCCTGTTAGGTTTTTTAGGTGTCTCTGTTTTAGCCCTATGATAAAACAGAGCCCTAAACCCTAATCCCTAAACCCTTCAATTCTTGGGAAAAGGTTTTTTTTGTTTTTGCTTCGGCTACTAGGGAAGTTTGTGCGTTGACCCCCTGAGGTAACAGTGGTACCACAGGTTTCAGGTTGTTCAGTCCACAAGCCAACCCCAAACCCTAAGTTCAATGTTAAGCCCTAAACCTAGGCCAGTTTCAGGTGGGATGTTTCTCCCAGACGATGCCTTACGGTACAGTTGCCCCCGTTTTCGACGACGCCTTATATACAGGCCCCGCTTGATGCCCATGTTCAGGCTTTCCTCGAGGCCCTACCGCTCCAGACCCATCACCCCCGAACGTGAGGAGGCAGTGGCACAATCATCCCTTTCCTTCCCCTCCAAAACTGGTTTCGGGTTTAGGGGGCTTGGGGTTGAGGGTTTAGGGATGCCCACTCCTGCGCAGGAAGTCTCATGCCCCCAAGCAAGCAAATTTATAACAAGCTGTTACAATCGCTGCTTGCCGGCTGCGCCTTTTGGACTCTAGGGTGTGCATCAGTAAATGTGCTCGTATGTCGCTGCCAAGAGTTTGTTAGGTATCTGATGCTAGCTGAGGATGGTGCAGCGCTACAGAAGTGTTCTGTCCGCGCTACAGTACAGCATCGTGCACCTCTTCGGTGACTACCCGGAGACGGACTATACAACCGAGGCCGAGCCAGTTTGAAGTCGAGAGTTGAACTTAAACTTCAGCACGAGGCCACGTAGCCCCAGTTTAGGGTTTAGGGTTTAGGGTTTAGGGTTTAGCCAGCGGCATGCAAGTCGCGCATTCTGGCTCATTGCTTGTGTCATAGTTGTCTGCCTCCGTGCAGTAAGTAGGATTTACAAGTTCCTTGTAACCCCAAATAGGATATTTAAAGGGGACCCCAAATCCACTCACCAAAAACAGCAATGAAGCCCTGTTTCATGTCAGGCCAAGATCATCCACTTTTTCGGCATCATGGGCAGTTTGGCGGCATTCAACACCTGCAATCTCATACTCTCGACTCAACCCAGACCGAAACCATCGAAACGCTACTTTCATGATCCTCGGTGTTCTTGCTGGCTGCGGATTTGCGATGAGAGAGCCCTCTCCTCAACCCACCCTCAAACTATCGGGTGATTGGTTTGGGTGGCGGTTGTGTTCCATGGGAGTGCCCTGAACATGCGCTCGAACACCTGCTAGTTATGAAAATTGTGTATATATTCCACCTGTCCGCGAAGATGCAAAAGGCAATCTTGAGCCCCCGGCCCGAAACCCTAAGCCCTAAACCCAAACGAAGGCCCAAGCCCAACAGTCTGCGGGGTCCTCTTCAGCTTTTCGACAATTCCCATCCGGCTTAGGGCTTATGGCGGTAGACGCTAGGGTACGCGCCTTGCCTCGTCATTGTAGCGGCTCAACCTGCCATCTGAAGTACAAAAGAGACCCTCCACAAATTGAAAGCGTGTGCCCAAACCATTACCCTAAACACCCTACACCCTAGCCATGACCCTCTTCATGGAGTTACCAGGATGGGTTCCTATGCCATATACAGTCCCTGAGAAGGCCCTTTATAGGGTTCAGTATATTTCATTATGAGGATTAGACGGCCTACTCGCCCATCCTGGTATCTCAGGCGGCATTGCCATTATCTCCACATTCTGTGGGGTCTTCAGTGCTGGCTTTGTCGACTTCCTAGAGACGACAAGGACAGAGCAGGCAACTGCCTGTGTTGGTCGACATGTCAATGCATTCTAATGTTGGTTTAGGGTTCAGGGTTTAGGGTTTAGGGTTTAGGGTTTAGGGTTTAGGGTTTAGGGTTTAGGGTTTAGGGTTTAGGGTTTAGGGTTTAGGGTTTAGGGTTTAGGGCCTCTTTGAGCGCTAGGTCCCTGCCCTCCGCACCGAATCGGTTTCAAAGGCCATCCCTGCACTCCAAAAGGACCTGGAAACGAGGTATGAGAATGGAGGGTTTAGGGTTTAGGGTTTAGGGTTTCGGGTTTAGGGTTTAGGGTTTAGGGTTTAGGGTTAAAAGGACCTGGAAACGGCATATGGGGGTTTCCGAAATTAGGGGTACCTTATTGGGGTCCTTATTCGAAGGGAACCCTACTATTTGGGAATCTATATCGAGGGCACCCTTTTTTCGTAAACCCCCGTATCCAGAGATGAAGCCATCTCAGCTAGTTCTGCTTCTGGGTTCCCACACAGCTTGCACACGCATGCCTGGGACAAAAAGCTGCTGCGGAAGTGCTCTCAAATTTGGAGGCCAAGCAGAAGTCGTCCGATTTCCTGCGTGCGACAGTGAAGATGAAGCTGGGCTTGAAGAAGGTGCTGGAGAACAGGAGCCTTGGATCTAACGGGACTTTCCAAGCCTGAGCTCTACATTGACCTAAACCCCAGACTCATTGGTCCTTAGTAGGGAATGAGGGTATTCGCTACCTTATGTCCCCTTTATTGCCGGTTAAAGGGTTATATTCACTAGGACCTGTAATGAAACCTCAGCCTCTGGCCCGGGACATCGGCACAATGTCCCAGGCGTTCACGGCCCAGCGGGGAGTCAGCAACGATGCAGCCGCAACAGAATTCGGCACCGTCGATCTGCAATTTAGGGTTCATGCACTGGTTCTTGTAGGGACTTGGTGAATCAGGTAATTACCCGATATAGTCCCTCAAGTTCCCTCATTCCCTACCAAAAACCAGTACTTGGAGGGCTGAGGCGAGGGGAGTTCCATCATGGATCGAGGAGTTCAAGAGATCAATTTGCAGGAAAGACCTACGCTACCGAACATCCAACAACTCTAGAATCACCGACTGATCGAGCTCTCGAAAGTAAGACTCAGAACAGCTCCTAGACAAAATGCTTTAGGGTTGAGGGCTTGGCGGTCGTTTGACCGAGGCATGGACCTCCATTCAGAGGTTTGCTCGTGCCACCTGGCGACCCTACACCAGGGTGTAGGGTTTAGGGTTTATTGAAATTATTCAGGGTTCAGGTCCGGGGAAAGTTTCGAGGAAAGTTTCGAGGAGTTTCGGGGAGTCTCGGTTTGGACCTTTGAATAATTTCAAGTTACAGGGGCTTGAGGGTTTAGGGTTTAGAACTTTCTCAAGCTGGGCTTACGTATGCAAACTCGTAAGGTAAAAGCCACAGCAAAGAAATTCCCAAAGAAGAAATAGTACAGAAGACATGTCTAGCTGCAACGGACCCATAGGTTAGTTCTAGTCTGAAAATGGAGTTCGATGAGGAACTCGGCAACCACGAGCCTCAGACCCCTCAAATCTCAAACTATGAGCCCCTAAAACCCTAACCCCCACCCCGCCACCCCCCCCCCCCCCCCCAAGCCCAAGACCTTTCGAAACCCAATGGCACCCTAAACCCCTATTCCTTCAGCCTTGGCTGGAATCTAGGCTTCGGGTCTAGGGTATACCGAAGCCTAGAACCCTAAACCCTGAGTTGAGGGGTTTGCCAGCTCTAGGGCGCGCAGCCAAGGCGATCATGTTCCGGCGTACCCCTGCAGGCACGGCTGGGTGGCAAGGGGGGCAGTTCTACGAAGTTTCGGTGGAAGTTGAGATACCCTGCTACATGGTTGGATTCCTTAGAAGAAGGTCGTGTTTGAAACTGGAGATTTAGGGTTTCAGGGCTTCGGGTTCGGGGTTTCAGGGTTTCAGGGTTGTAGGGTTTTAGGGTTTAGTGCTTAGGGTGTTTCAGGGTTTATAAGGATGTGTCGGCTCCAGACGTGCGACCTGCGTGTTCTGCAGCAGGAGCCAGCGTCCAGCTGTTTTTCAGCACCGCTGTGGCGGCAGTCTCAGCAGAAGTGAACATTGACTCACCTAAACCCTCCCTAAAGGCTCCTAATGTAGGTCCTTTTTGCGATGGCTATAGGGGATTATAGTGTATGCCGCTACCTTAGAAAAGTACTACATAGGACAACAAGAGGGTTTAGGGTTTAGGGGGTAGTTTGTTTTTTGGCAGCCCTAAACCCTAACGGGTTAGAACAGGGTTTAGGGTTAATCCTAGTCCCTGCAAATTTTGGGGGCACTACCGCGCCACGGCTTGGATCACTGTTCGTGGTCAAGGTAAGAACTCTAGTTTCCCTAACCATATCACCCTCTTCGGCCCTAGGGCCTGAAACCCTCAACCCCACCAAGATCGTGGCATTGATCAACACCATGGCGGCATCGATCCCCGAGATCGCGCGGCCCTAAGATGTTTGCGAGGTTTCAATCCGCTGGGCTTATGGGAGTTGAGGGTTGAGGGTTGCGCGTTGAAGTATTTAAAGGACTGAATGCATCTTAGGCTTTGATTTTTCAGCGGCTTACAGGATGTAAGTTGGGGTTTAAGGATTTAGGGCTTAGTTGGGGCAGGGGGGGGGGGGGGGGTGGAGTCCGGGTGGAAGGTTAAACGCTACAAGCCCTAAGCCTTACAAGCCCCACAAGCTGTGAGCTCCTCAGGACAACACCCCTGCTGCCGCCACCGCATGCTTGGTCGTGGAAGTCGCTTGCACGGTGGTGTTTGTGGTCCACTACGCCGCGGAGCTGAGAATTGGAGAGGTCAGGGTTCGTAAACCCTAAAACCCTAAACCCTCAACTTTGTGAAGCCCTAAACCCTAAACCCTAAACCCTAAACTCTAAACCCTAAACCCTAAACCCAAGCGGAGCGTAGCTTGTTTATGCCAGGAGCAGGGAATTCGGGCAGGAGCTTTGGAGCTTCTTCAACGACGCGGAGCCCTAAACTCCAGGCTCTAAACCCTCCTATAGCCTCCAAACCCCACTTAGGATTTAGCGTTTAGGGTTAGAACCCTAAACCCTAGAAACCCTAAACCCTAAACCCCTAAACCCCTAACCAAGCCGACAGCTCTTGCAGCGTCCTCTTCTCCGCAGCCTGGGGCTCCCCAGTCTCAAAGGTGGGCAGGAATGGCGCCGTGTGGGCCAGACAGGCCGCCGAGGTCAGGTCGACCGAGTCGACTGGGGGTTCTGGTAGCCTTGGTGGCCTTCAATGGCACCTTGGTAAGTCAGTGGTACTTTTTTTTTGCCCTGTTTTTGGTTCAAGTGTTCCCTTTTTGGTAAGTCAGTGCTACTATTTTCCCCCCTGTTTTTGGTTCAAGTGTTCCCTTTTCAAGTAACCAACCCCCCCGCCCAAAAGGGGTGCCCTTGTTAAAATAGGATTGCTGGGCTACCAAGGCATAGCACCATGGCCCCTCTGGAGCTTCTCCCTGAGCCTGAAGTCCAAGACCACCACCAAGTCTTGCCAAGCGGCGGCGCTTGGCCCCGACCCCAACCCAAGGGAGCTCAAACAGCTGGATAGGGCACTTCCGCAGTACATGCTGGACTATTGCAACGGAGATGCCAAGAAGGCCATGAAGAAATGGGCCGAAACACTGAAATGGCGGTGTGAGATTGACGACGAGGGCATCTTCAGCAAGCCAAGTCAAGATTTCTTTGCCATACAGCGCAACTATCCAACTTTCCTCCACCTACCAGACAAGGCGGGACGCATGACCTATTGGGTCAACATCGGAGATTTGAACCCACAGGGACTTGATCGGGATGGCATGACGCTGGAGCGAATTCGAGATGACTATTTGTGGCAGACGCTGTTTTTGTGGGATGTCTGGCTGAAGCGTGATGACAAGCAGGACCTTACCATTGTCCTCGACATGAAGGGCTTCCGCCTGTCCATGGTATCACCTAAGATGATCCGCGTCTTCTCAGCCTCTTACAACGTGGTTCAGACGCACATGCCGGATCGCGAGAAGCTTGTGGTCGTCGTCAACGCACCCGAATGGTGGCGGGCCGTTTGGGCCATCTTCCGCCCCTTCCTGCCGAAGAAGCAACAGGAGCGACTTAGGGTTTGCGAGAGCGAGGAGGAGGGCCTCAAGACACTCCGGGACCTCATCCCACCACAGAACATTCCCAAAGCCTACGGCGGGACGGGCATCGAGCTCGGCGCCGCGCCGGCCAACGTCATGCGCAACAAGTACGCGGCTGAAGGGTCGGGTCGGTGATGTCCGGGGCAAAGCCCAGGGCTCTTCAGTACTCAGTACCCTTCATCATTTCTCCCCTCCTTTTTCTGCAAGGATTGTATGTCATGTCGGTTCCGTTTCAGGGCCATCATATACCAGCAAGACAGGGTGCCCTCATATTCTTACATAGGCCTAGCTGGAGAACCTTGCAGACTCCTCACTCCAGCACCCCGGCTCCGTAGCCGCCAAACAAAAGCCATGGCATGAGCTGCCCCAGTCTGAAGACAGGATGGCGCTCGACAGACTCCTCCCGAGCTCTCGAGAAAAGTCTGCTCGGACTGCTGCTTTGCAACCTTGGTCCGGGGCCCACCGTGCCACCTTCTAAGAAGCTGTCTTTTGGGGGGTTAAGCATCATTTTACATGGCATATGGGATTGTACCTGCCTTGCTTCGCTTTCGGTTCAGGATTCGGAGTCGCGTGGTCAGGGTTTCCAGGTTTTTAGTTGAGCGTCTGGGTGTTTTTGACGGAGGTGGACATCAGGCATGGCCCACTAAGAGGATGATGCTTGAAACCATCAAGAGGAGGATCTTTCAAAGTTCTAAAGTGGCTATGAAGCCTCTGAAGCACGTAAAGGCCCCCAAAATCCCATGCCGAGGCCTCAACCCCAAACCCCGAACCCTAAACCCTAAACCTGTAAACCCCAAACCCTAAACCCCCCTAAACCCTCTGAAACCTTCAATCCCCAAACCCCAAGCTCTACAAACCTTCAAACCCAAAACCCCAGACTTTATAAACCTTCAAACCCTATGAGCCCGAAACCCCAAGCTCGACGAACCTTCAAACCACACCGCCCAAGCCGAGGGAGTTCGACTCCTCGCCAAGCCAAAGAGTGAAGGGGCCTCAGCATCAGAGAGGGTGCCCTTTATAGACCCTAATCGAGGCACGTCTCGGGTTTGGAACGAGAGGGTTTTGGGGCTTCCACCTCGGATTAAACCCCCAAGCCCTAAACCCTGATCCTAGAGCCGTGAATTTGCCTTGAATTCCTTCGGGGTCGCTTTTTCGATCCTTGGGGATTCTGGCTGGAAACCATGAAACGACCACCCAAAATAACCCCGAAGTCGGCAAGCCACAGCATCCCAGAACCCCAAAAGCAACCAACCTCCTGACATCAGAAGCTGCGCCATGTCATGCTTCCCGAGGCCTTCTCCTTCTTCGGCATTATCGAAGCTGGGGCCTGCAACCGGGGTTTATAGGGTTTTTAGGGTTTTTAGGGTTTAGGATTCAGGGGCGCGGGATAAAGTTATGATAGCCGAATTATGCCATATATGCGCTTCCCCCTCCCGCAGCTATAGTCTGAAACTACAAGTTTTCCCCCGAACGCTTTCTGAGCTTCAGGGCGTAGGTCCCAGCAAGAGGCTTTATGGGGTTTGCAGGCATTAGGGCTTTAGGGCTTAGGGTTCAGGGTCTCAGGTTTAGCCCCAGACCCTTTTTGCCACGGACGTGTCCACACAAAGCCTACTTGTAGGCTTAAACCTAAATACTAAGTCCTGTACCGTGAGCTAGCAGCTAGCTCCTGCCCCCTAAACCCTAAACCCTAAACCCTAAACCCTAAACCCTAAACCCTAAACCCTAAACCCTAAACCCTAAACCCTAAACCCTAAACCCTAAACCCTAAACCCTAAACCCTAAACCCTAAACCCTACCTGCCCCGCCCGTCTCCGACGATGAGGACCTCATTGGGTGCTTGCCAGGCATCTTCGTCATTAGAAACTGGATTGCACAAGGCTGGAGCTGGGGATGGGGTTAGGGGTTAGGGGGTTTAGGGTTTAGGGTTTAGGGTTTTAGGGTGTAGGTTTTCAAGTGGTTCTAGGTTTGTAGGGTGCCGGGCTTAGCTTAGGGTTTTCGGAAGAAGGGGGCCTGGGAGGCTCTGCGTCGGCGTGTTTTGCTTATCGGGCTTGAAGTGCAGGCAGCGCACCTCTTTGGTGAGCCGAGATTTGTTTTCTGGATGTGCAGCAAGCTTCGGTCAGGTTCAAAAAGCAGGCCGTTCGCATTCATGCAGGTCACATCAGTTTTGGAGATTGTTGGGTGTACATGCAGATGCTGACAGATTTCCTTGGCAAGGAGCTCGCGGCCAGTATGTACACATGGTAATGTTTGAGTGACAAGCTTCTGTCCCGAAATCCTAAACCATAAGCCCTAAGCCCTCCAATTCTCAGCACTAAACTCTAAGCTCTACATCCAAAAATCCTAAATCTAAAGCCTAAACCTACAGAGGAAACACGAGTAGGGCCCTGAGATGCCCTGAGAGCAAATGGCAAACCACCATGGCATCGGCTATTGCGAAGTGGATCTTTAGGGCTTTAGGGTTTAGGGTTGAGGGTTTGGGGTTTAGGGTTTAAGGTTTTGGGTTTAAGGTTTAGGGTTTAGGGTTTTGGGTTAGACAGGGTTTCGGCAATTAGGTCTTAGGGTGTTAGTATTTAGGATTCGAGGTTTGGGGTGTACAGTGGGGATCTAAAAGTTTCGAGATCTCAAAAGGAACATGCGGCAGCCAACGAAGAGAAGGCATGCTTCTGTTCAACAGCCCTAAACCCTAAACCCTAAACCCTAAACCCTAAACCCTAAACCCTAAACCCTGAACTTTGATAATCCCTCTCAGGCCGTCCTCACAGCAGGGAGGAGTCAGTGGTGGAAGCCTTTAGTTGCCTGTCTCGAAAGCCGGACTTGCTGGTTCGTAGAAAGGGATTAGGGGAAGAGGCTGAAGAAAGGACACTATATCACTCCTCAAAGGTTTATATCGCGGGATATGTGGTGCTTCATTCCTTCATCCCCTATGAAGAGCTTTCGTACGGCAAGAGAGCCAAAGAGTCAGTGAGCGACATAGAGAGCGGGAGATTCGGTCATACCCCTGCAAGCGAGAGCCAGAGTGAGAGAGCGAAAGAGGCGCACTAAACCCTAAACCCCTAAACCCCTCAACCCTAAACCCTACACCCTAACCCATCATAATGAGTAGGCATGCCCTGCCGCGATGATTACTGTAGGCATGCTCCGGGCGCTGCGAATCCTCAACTTCCACATGTTCCACACCGAAGTTCGGATCATCGGTGGCGCCCTTAACTGTCGCATTGAGTATCGATGAATAGGGTTTCGGGTTTCGGGTTTCTGTTTTGGTACATATAGGGTTTGAAAGCGTCGGCCTCCCGAGCATCCTTGGGAAGTGCTTGATCTTGCATGCTTGCGCAGCACATCATGCGGAGCTTCACCTGGGCAGGTCGTGTGCTGAAAGATGCCAGCGCGAAGCTAGCTGCCGGATCCTCAAGGGCATGAAGAATGACAAGTCGTCGTGGTGTTGCAATCACAGCAGCCGTTGGAGAAGAAGCAGACATCGTCGTAGACGTGAGTTTTGTCGGGCTCAGCCTGTTCCGGATGTCGGCGTCTGTCTGTATCTGAATGTAGCGGCATCCTCAATTGTCGGTCTCTTGTTCTTGTGTATCTTGACCGGGTTGCAGGATAGCAGTCGCAGTAGCCGGAGTCGAGGTCGTCGTCGTCGTTCTTCTTATTCTATTGGTATGTGGTTAGGAGTATCAATAGCCTCAAGCCTGGTAGAGAAGAAAGCTGACGGAAGATATCCGAGAGTGCTGACCCAATGCTGTTCCCAAAAAACAGTGACAAACGAGCCTGTATACAACCCTGAACCCGATTACCTCACATTAGGATGGGGAATTGACAAGACGTATAGTGACACCTAAACCCTAAACCCCCTTGGCGAGAACTGAGTGCCCTGCCAAGGTGCCAGCATACTTGGCGCTGAATGCTGCAGAGCTGCAAAGAGTTGCTTATAAGGCTTTGGGATGTTCAGGGTTTTTCGACTACTTGTTTAAGAACCCCTCGGAGAATGTAAAGAGAACATTCTTCCTTACAAGGGCTTTATAGGGATAATCATTTTGGAATTGTTTTGGGGGTGCTTAAGCAAGTAGTAATTGACAAACGCTTGCGCGCGCCACCTCGGCGGGCCGGCAGGATTTCTGGCAGGGTTTCTGCCTCAAAAAAAGGGGGAGGGTCCCAGAAAAGGGTCTTAAAGGGGTTTCAGGGGGGGTTCCAGAAACCGAGGTGGGGTCCCAGAAAGGTCCCGCCCAGCACCCCCCACAGCATCATAGGGCCGGGGGGGGGGGGGGGTTAGGGGGAAGGAGACCGGATCCGGGTCTGCTTGTTCCAGACGCTTTTCGGCAGGAAGCCGAGGCAAATTATAGGTTTACAGGCTTAGGGCCCCAGGGTTTGTGGGATATATGGGCCGAGGGTGTATAGGACTTAGACGTAGCAGCGACCACATTGGACACCCATAATCCTGCACAGGTCACGCTTTTTCCCATGTTCACCAATGTTCTCTTCTGCAAATCCTCCCACGCCCGAGACCCTCATCAAACCCTAAATCCGAGACCCTATAGACCTTAGCAGTAGCTGCTCCAACATGTCGGGGCTCGCCGGGGCGTCTCTGCGTCGTGTAGATGCCGTGCACAGGGGTTTAGGGTTCAGTGACAGGTTAGGGGTTTAGGGTTTGCGGTTTAGGGCTTCGGGTTTAGGGTTTATAGTGTTAGGGCAGTCATCACCAACAAACCAACAGGAAGTCCCCCTTATCAATGAGCTGCACTAACATGCGCGTGAACATGTTGTTGGGCGTTCTTTCTCGTGTGTCCTGGAGGTTAGCTACCCACAACGGCCGCGCTGCTGTTGCTGTTGTTGTTGGAGATGTGGCGGCGCAGTGCGGTGTATTGCTTCTGAAGACTTACGACCAAAGTACTCAGCGTAGCCTCCCCAAACCCCAAACGCACGCTAAACACGCCCTAAACCCTAAGAACCCTAAACCCCAAACCCTCAACCCTTACCCCTAAACACCTCAGACCAAGGTCTGGATCACCACCTCAGCCCTCTTCATGTGGTTTGAGAACGAGTGGAAGAACGAGGCCACGGCCTGCGAAGCAAAGCCTCCGAGCTGCATTCGGGCTTAGGGTTTAGGGTTTAGGGTTTAGGGTTTAGGGTTTAGGGTTAGGGTTCAGGGTTCAGGGTTTGGGGTTCAAGGGCAGTGTTACATGTGATTTTCGAGTTCGGGGGGGGGTTTGGGGGGGCATTGTTTGGGCACTTATTATTGGGGTTTAGGGCTTCATTCTTGGGGGGCGGAGCGTTTTGCGGCTCCGGCTAGGGCTGTTACGGTGCAACGCCATACCCTCAGTGATCTGGGTGTTTCTGCCTCTCTCTCGCTCGCTCTCGCTCTCTCGCACTCTCGCACTCTCGCGCTCTCGCGCTCTCGCGCTCTCTCTCTCTCTCTCTCTCTCTGTCCCCCTCTCTCTCCAAGCCTAGGTACGCCGCAGAGCAATGCGGTGGCTCCGGTACTTACGAGGACATGCCGGATGTGCCGTCCGCCCCTGCGCCAGCACTTGATCACTTGTTCGAACCTGGAGCGTTTTCATCGCCTATGTCAGCCCGTGGGTCGTCTCCCAACACACTGATTGAACCGAATTGCCTTCTCACCTTGCAACCCTAAGACCCTGAACATCCCTAAAGATCCTAAGCTTCCATTTCAGTCTCCCACACGCGAATTATAACCAACAAGCACTAAACTCTTCAACTCTCAGCCCGCGCCTTCTTCAAGGCCATGTACTGGTGCTCGATCTTCCTCACGGGCGAATGGGCCAACGTGGATTTCACCTACGCCGGCTCCAGGCTTTGCATCTTCTACGCAGCCTGGCATCTATTCGGGCTGGAGCTTCCTAGCTGTTGGTTTTGGGTTTTTAGGGTCCAGGGTGTAGGGTATCTAGGGCATTTAGGGTATGGTTTTTAGGGTTTTGGGTTTTGGGTTTTGGGTTTCCAAGGTGATCTTCGGCATTGCCATCTTCTCCATCCCCGTCGGCATCCTCGTGGAAGCCGTACGAGGCGCTGCTACCTGTTTCGCCTTGGGGGACCATGTACCGAAATGGGGCGGTTGTCGGAAATAGGGCTACCCTACACTCCAAATACTATCTAGAATCCCTCCATAGTATAGGAACGAACACTCCCCCTTCCCAAAATAGAAAAGAAGACTCCTCTAGTGAGGGTCGAGCTCAGATTTGCTGGGCTTTAGGGTCTGTTCAGACTCGCACCCCTAAAGGCTTCCCTTAATATACACCCAATATGGCCCTCATCTTACCTTAGGGATCTTAAAAAGGGTCTCCAAGCCCAAGAGTACCACCCTTGGGGTCGGCTTCCCCTAATATACTCCGAAGATGGCCCTTATTTTGCCTTCGGGATCTCAAAAAAAGGGTCTCCAAGCCCAAGAGTACCACCCTTGAGGTCCAAGGTACAGTCCCTTGAGTTCTGCGGCTTCCGGGATGGAGGGTTAGGTCTTGGCGCCTGGGTCTTACTTGAGCTTCAGGGTTTGGGGTTTAGGGTTCAGGGTTCAGGGTTCAGGGTTTAGGATTTAGGCACGTAGGGTTATTAGAAGCCCCCCAAAATATGGGTATACATGTTGCTACCGTACTTGTACCCGCAGTCATAGATACACATAAACCCCACCAGCCCAGCCTTGAACCTAGACCACACATCCCGTGTGAACCCTTAAACCCTGAAGGTCCAACGCGAAATCCCAAAGCCACAGACCCTTTCGAAGCCGAAACCCTTGAGGCCCAAACCGACAGCCCAAATGCGAGAGCTTGTCTCTTGTCTCCTTCATGATCCATCTAAACCGTAAACCAAAAAATGCCTACAAAGTAGCTATAGCCCCCCTGTTGCATGTGCAGGACGTCCAAAACCCTAACCCTAGAACCCTGAATGAGGCGACACAGTTCTGGAGGTAGAGCCCCCATATGAGACGCGGTCAAAATTTCCGCTTGCTTATTTTAGTAGAGGGGGTAGTTGTTGCAGCAAAACGCCGAGGATCGATAGGGGACGCGCTAAAATGACAGGGTTGTTTGATACGATAGGATAAAAAACTGCGGTAGGTGAAAAACATGGAAAACGATAGGGGATGTGCTAATTCAAAACAAGCGAGACTTAAACAAGTAATCTTGACGCCGACTCATATGGGGGTTTGCGAAAAAACACGGTGCCCCCAAAAAGGACCCCCAAATAGTAGGATTCCCTTCTAGTAAGGACCCCAAAACGGTACGGACACCGGCAGGTACTTTGAAGATGATCGCCCTAGAGGAGAAGGCAAAGCAGAAAGCGGGGAGCCAAGCCACTGGTGGAGGGTTTCGGGTTTAGGCCGTAGGGTTGAATGGGCTTAGGGTATGACTCCAAGTCCGTGTCAACCCCAAACCCAAAACCCCAAACCGCAAACCCTAAACCCTAAACCCTAAACACTAAACCCTAAACCCTAAACACTAAACCCTAAACCCCAAACCCTAAACCCCCAGTACACCGGAAGCCAAACTCGAAAGAAGCTTTGCCATCCTGGCCCTTGAAGCCCCTCGGGGGAGAAGATTTCCAAAGAGGATCCTCTCAACTGCAGCAAGCACTCGAAGCAGAGAATACACCACCCCCCTCGAAGTAGAGAATACACCACCCCCCCCCCCCCCCCCAAAAAAAAAAAAAAAAAAAAAAGCACACAACAACAAAAACACCTTGGCAACTTTTCAGGGTTTAGGGTTCAGGGTGCCTATAGGACCCAGAGTAGGCCCGTAGTCCCGATTGTTGAGGTTCTAGGTTCCCTTATCAAGCCCCTTTGAAGCCATGGGTTTGGTTCATTGTTTTAGGATTTAGAGTTTAGGCTTGAGGGTTTAGGATTTAGAGTTTAGGGTTCAGGGTTCAGGGTTTAGGGTTTAGGTTTAGGGTTCAGGGTTTAGTGTCTGAGGTTCTCTCCCTTCCGTCGGGCGTCAACTTGATACCAGATGATGCGCCTAAGCACTGGAAGTCCTAGATGGGGAAGCCAAGCTCAATCTCCAAACGGAGGATCTCTAAAGCAGTCAGTCGCTTGAGAGCCTGACTGTCTGATCCTATGGCTGCCAAGCAGCATTGCAGCTTTCCTTAGGAATCTGAGCTCCTGAGTTAGATCCTATAGCTGCCAAGCAGCACTGCAGCTTTCCTTAGGAATCTGAGCTCCTGAGTTAATCCAGTATCTTCCCCACAGCTCCTGCCTCCGCTCATCGCACGAGCAAAGCTGGTCGCGATATCCTCTTGCCGCCTGAAGGTGCCAAACAACTCGCACCTTTAAGTGTGCAGGGGGTGTAATGACATGGATGTCTGGGGTTTAGGGAAAAGAAGGTCCGACAAGCCGCCCAACAACCGGCCAGAGCAGAAAGAAGCGCCGACACCATGTAGGATGGCGGCTTCCAGGTTCCGTTTAGGGGTTTCGGGGTTTAGAGGTTTACGAGTTTAGGGGTTTAAGGGTTGGGGGTTTAGGGGTTTCGGGGTTTAGAGCTTACGGTCCATTCTGAGTTGAGGGCTCGTAGGTGTTTCTGCAGCTTGTAGAACTCGTGGGGGTCCTTCCCTCCTAAACCCTAAACCCTAAACCCTAACTTCCTCCGAGGAGCAGTCGGATCCGACGGCCCACTACGACCTGAATCTGGAGCATCCGCAGCACCGCGCCTTGCTGCGCATGCTTCTCAGGCGACTGGGAGAAGTAGGGTTTAAGGTTTAGGGTTTAGGGTTTAGGGTTTAGGGCTTGTCGGGGAGGGCAGGGAACCTCCGAGACCCCTAACCCAGTTCACCCAGGCAATGAGGGGTTTAGAGCTGAGCGCCTGTTCAGCGTTTTACGCTTCAGGGTTGAGGGTTTGCGGGCTTCGGGGCTTTAACAGAGTTGAGGGCTTGACCCTAAACCCTAAACCCTAAACCCTAAACCCTAAACCCTAAACCCTAAACCCTAAACCCTAAACCCTAAACCCTAAACCCTAAACCCTAAACCCTAAACCCTAAACCCTAAACCCTAAACCCTAAACCCACCCAAACTCTGTGGGATGGTGAGCCTGAACCTTGGGAAGGCGATCCCAGAAGCTCTCGACGCCGATGCAGGAGCTCTTTGCCTTCGAGGCGCGGGTTTAGGGTTTAGGGTTTAGGGTTTAGGGTTTAGGGTTTAGGGTTAGGGTTCACCTGTTAATCCTGGCGGACAGAAATTTCTGTCCTTATGGTTTTTTCTGGTTTTTTGCGTGCAAAAGCGAGGTGTTGGTGTTCTATTGGGATCGGGGAATGCGATCAAAGCGGCTGGATTTTCGGAGTTCAGGGGAACCTTCCCGAGCCCTGTGCAGAGTCTTGTGCACCAAAGAATAGGTGACCTGAGCAGAACACAAAAAAGCGTACTCTGAACCCAACGTTTTTCCAACATAATGTTGGGTTTTGTTGGGTTTTTTTTTTTGGGGGGGGGTAGCCCAAAAAAACGTAAACCGTACCGAATCCGTACTTTGTTGGAAAAATGTTGGGAAAATGTTGGGAAAAAAGCGTACCCAAAACCCAACGCAAACCCAACAAGAGGACACTTTTTCTGAAAAGGCCACTTTTTCTGCAGAATTGTGTGGGTGTCTGGTTTCCACCAGGAAATAGGTTTCTGACCATCATTAAAGCGGACGGATTTTTTGCGCGGCTGGATTTTTCCGGCCTCTTCAATAGGACAGTTTTTTATGGAACGGGGGATTGACAGGCAGGGTTTAGGGTTTAGGGTTCAGGGTTTAGGGTTTAGGGCCTAGGGTTTAGGGGTTTCGGGGTTTAGGGGCTTTGAGGTTTCAGGGCTCCCTGCTCGGTTGAACCTACGGCGAGTTTGGACTTGCGCGGGGAAAAGACCCTAAACCCCACAAGCCACCAAATGTATGCCCTATGAACAAGTTCAAATAAACACACAAACAAAAATGCGTAAGTAAGCAATTGAAGAAGTACATACACAAATACATGAATAAAAAGCAAAAAGACATGTATACATATATATATATATACCCTGAACCGGATTCCCAGATCAGCTGCCCGCTAAGTCAGAATGGCTCTTTCAGGGCAGGCTGCGGATGTCCCACAACGGGAGCGACCGGCGCAAGCTAAGCCGACTCTGCTCCCCTGCTTCAAAAGGGTTTAGGGTTTAGGGTTTAGGGTTTAGGGTTTAGGGTTTAGGGGTTCTTACATGGGTCTTAATGTGGTCCCTTACTACCCGTTTAAGGGCCCATACTAAGGGAACATGTAACTACCCTAAGATGCTCCCCTCCTCCCGATCATCCACGCAAGGCTATCTCGGCGTAATTTCAACAGTCTTCGTGCACCAGTCCTCATCCCCCGCAAGAGTTGGCCCCAATAGGGTCCCTTAACCCTAAACCCCAGGCCCGGTATAGCTCACGGTCGGAATTACGCAGTCTAGGGGGGCCGTAAGCAGCTTCAGCCCGAAGCATTTTGGTCAGGAGCGTGGCGACGAAGTCTTGCAAGGCTGGAGCAAGACGCAGTCTGTCAGTTCCTGAGACTTTGCTGTTTGTGTTTGGCGTTTATGGAAGCCCATTCGCCCGTGCTCTAATGGCAAAGGTTTGGGTGTTTGGGGCAGAGATAGATCCCCCCCCCCCCCCGTGTTCGGGCCGTAGGAGCTGCTCCACCGAGGTCCTCCACGTTTCGCCCTCGAAAACCCTGAGAACTGAGAATCCCCTCAGACATCGGTTACGACGCCTGTAGACACAATAAACCAAAGCCTGCGCTGAAAGGCACCAGACTCCCATAGTTGTCAGCTTCCCGGGGACCCCAATGCTCCTTAATGATAAGCAATAATCCTGCAAGCATATATATATATATATATGGTACCCCCCCAGTGACCTACCCTTTTTCGCCTTGTCTCAAGTCACCCAGCTGCACTGCAAGCAAACTCGGTGTGCAATATAGCGTATTTCCTAGGGCGTAGACTAAAATACAACTAAAATCGCATACACGGGACAGTAGAAAAACCAAAATTACCAAAATCAAAAAAACAAAAAACCAAAAAACCAAAACCAAAAAAAACAAAAAAACCAAAACCAAAAAAACCAAAAAAACCAAAAAAACCAAAAACCAAAAAAACCAAAAATACAAAAAAAAAAAATCCGGGACTCTCAGGAAATCCCTATGAGGCTTCTCCAAGAGTCCCGGAAAATTGTTTTGTTTGGTATTTTTGTTTTTTTTGGTTTTGGTTTTTTTGGTTTTTTTGGTTTTGGTATTTTTGGTTTTTTTGTTTTGGTATTTTGGCTTTTTGGTTCGCCTTCACGGTCACGAGGCAACAACTACGCATTTTTAAGTGTGCTTATGCTAATTGTGCTTTTCAGAAATAGTATACAAGTGGTCTTTCTAGTGCTTCAGAACTATTTGTTTCGTTATTATGTAAGTAGAGCCACTAGTGTTTAGTGCATCTTTTGGTTGTACTCAAGTGTAGTAGGCCTTATTCAGCCATTACTTGGTGCTCTGGTAGCTCAATTCGCATGGATAATATTTGCCTGGTAAATGCGATTAATTATCTAGAAGCAGCATTTGCAATACTTGTCTTGAGAAAAAGCATTTATTGCTTCGAATTGTTTGCTTAAAAAGTGACTCCTACTCGTCCAGGAATACCCCAAAACCCTATAATCCAAACTTTACCAGAGATTCTCCTGAAAAGCTTGCGCTTTTGGATGTTTTTGTGTATTTGTGAATTTGCTTGTGTATGGCCTTCACTAAGTACTTTTCTGGGATTCTTGTGCATTTTTTAAGCCTGATTGTGCAAGTTGCGTTTTTCAAGCATAGTATATATGTGGTCTTTATTGAATACTTCAGACATCGTTGTTTCATTGTTATGTAAGTAGAACCGCTTCTATTTCCATTATTGTGCATCTTTAAGCTTGCTCATGCAAATTTGTGCTTTTCAGGCATAGTATATTAGTGGTCTTTAGTGAATACTTCAGCAATCTTTGTCTCATTGTTATGTAGGTAGAACCATTTCCATTTCCGCAAGTGTTTATTTCGTATTTGGTTGAGTATGGTCCTGTACATAGTATTCACTTGAGTCAAATTGGGCTATTTGCTTAAGAATTCCTCTAGTAGTTAAATTCGCATAGAATGAATACTTCAAAAAAATTGTTTCATGAATATGTAAACATAAGGTGTTTCATTTGACTTTGCAGATACTACTTCAATAATACTTTGCCTGGTATAAACACAACTGTTTCAATGCATTAGTTGCTCAACAAAGCACTATTTGCCCTTTAAACCACACTTTGCCATATTTTGGTTGAATATGGTGCTTCTTTCGTATTTTGGTTGAGTATGGTCCTTTAAATGGCATTCACTTGAGTCAAATTGGGCTATTTGCTTAATAATTACTCTAGTAACTAAATTCGCATAAAATGATTATTTCAAAAAGAAAAACGATTCATGAATATGTAAACAGAAGGTATTTCAGTGGACTTTTCAGAGAGCATACTTTGCCTAGTACAAACACAATTGCATAAATACAGTATTTGCACTTTAAACGCACACTTTGCCATTTTTTTGGTTGAAAATTGTGTTTATTTCGTATCTTGGTTGAGTATGCTCCTTTAAATAGTATTCACTTGAGTCAAATTGGGCTCTTTGCTTAATAATTACTCTAGTAGCTAAATTCGCCTAGAACCAAGAAAAATGTTTCACTATTTGATTAATACTTTGCCTCGCACAAACACAATTGTATAAATAAATTAGTTGCTCAACAAAACATTAATTGCCCTTGAAACGCACAATTTGCATAGAAAAACACTGATCTAAACATCTAAAAACAGCATTTCTTCCAATGCTAGCTTATCGGGGTCTGTGAGGTGGGTGTCCCAATAACTGTCCTTCATTACCCGGTGATTAACTACGCGACTTTTGGGCCTTCTTTGTTGTTTTTTGTTAAAAAGGCCTAAAAAGGCCTAAAAAGGGTAGGTCGCTGGGGGGGGGGGGTAGCTATATAGCATATATATATATATATAGATAGATATAGATATAGATATAGATATAGATATAGATATATATATATATACATATATATATATATGTATATAAATATGGTTCCAAAGCGGGTTCCTCTTCTGGTCTAAGGAATATTCTGGGGATGCTTTTCGGTTCCCAAACCTCTTCTCATCGAACTGCGGATTGCCCTCAGTGATGATTTGTCGACAAGCCCCCTTTACCCTAACCCCTAAATCCTAAACCCTAAGCCCTAAACTCTAAGCCCTAGACCCCATAAACCCTAAACCCTATAAACCCTAAACCCCAATTTCCCAGAGCAGCCTGCAATGAGGTTCCACACAAAGGCCAGGCCGTCTCCATTTGTTGAGTGAGCGCGTCGGCCTCGTAGGATTGCGGTGCAAGACCTGCAAACGACTTTGGGCGAAAGATGGTTTAGGGTTATATAGGGTTATACAGGGGTATAATAGGGTGATATAGGGTTATATAGGGTTGTATAGGGTTATATAGGGTTATATAGGGTTCTATAGGGTTTAGGGCTTTAGGGTTTAGGGTTTAGGGTTCAGTATCATGGCTGGTCTCCATGCCAGGGCACGTGAGCTTCGCCTTCCGATTTCCCATGGAGCGCTGCGCCAAGATGGGGATTCAAGGGTTGGTTAGAAGTGAAGCTTCAGCTAAGCCTGGTTTAGGGTTTAGGGTTTAGGGTTAGGGTTTAGGGTTTGGGTTTATAGGGTTTAGTCCAAGTCCTAAAACGAACATGGACCGCAAACTAATCAACGAGCAACATCTTCGGCTGAAGGCTAGGCCTAGAGGCTGCGCAGTAGGTAGTGAGGATTGGCGATTTCTCTCGCAACTTCTTGGAACCCTAAACCCTCAACCTTAAACCCTAAACCCCAAACCCCCAAACCCCAAACCCCAAGCCCCAAGCCCCAAACCCCAAACCCTAAACCCTAAACCCAAACCCAAACCCTGCTTCTTGCCTCAGCTGCTTAGCTAGCGAGGCTGGGCAGCGACCAGGACGCAACCACCCTGATCTCCAGGTCCAGCAAGAGTTCGGGGTTGCCGTTTTCATAAAATTCGAATGCTTGGAGGTTCATGGGCAGTTATAACCCTAGTTGTACGTGTCTGTCTATAACCTACTTGGGGCACCTAGGGCGCCTTTAAGTGCGGTTATGTTTGCGGTTATAAGTGCCCTGAACTTCCAAGCATTATACTCATAACATAACGAGAAAATATGACACTACTGTATTTTACAATGATTATAATCATGTAATGTAAGAGTATAGTATTCCTCATATAAGTTCTTTTGTAATAGATGTGAGACTGCAGGCATCAGGCTCATGGCATTGCGACTGCAGGATTTAGGATGCTCGGGGGATCACATGGCCCATGGCCTTGCTTCTGTTATGCTCTGCATCCAGGGAAGGCACGAGTCGATCCTGAGGCGTGCGAAAAGGGCATGCAAGCACTAGGAGACCCGCAAGATAAGTACCCTAAGACCCTAAGTCTAAAATACAAACCGGAAACCCTAAGCCCAAAATTTAAACCCCACAAAACGAACAGTGAAGGTTTCATTCTCCGTTCATGAGTCGCGACTCATCCCTTCTATGGAAGGACGACAGTCCTCAGCATAGCCTAAGCGACCATGCTGGCGTCACGGCTTGCTTCTAGGAGCCCCTTCCCCCAAAATACGCCAACCCCCAAAACCCCGAGACCCCTAACCCCTAAACCCTAATCCCTAACCTAAACCCTATAAACCCTAAACCCTAAACCCTAGCCCTAAACCCTAAACCCAACGCCATATGAACCCTCACCCCTTCAAACGCCAATAAAGCCCGCTGCAGCCGCTGGCAGGATCAACGAGAAGAGGAAGCTAAAGGTCGGCTTAGTGGACTTCGTCAAGGCCTTGGGGCTTAGGGTGTGGGGTCTCGGGCTCAGGGTCAAGGGTTTAGGGTGTGGGGTTTAGGGGGGGGGTGGTATGGCCGCAAGGTTCTAGGGTATGCCGAGGGTGTGATTTAGGGTTCAGGGTATGGGGTTCAGGGCTTGGGGATCAGGTTTGGGGTGTTCAGCATCTCCGGAGCTGCTTTGGGGGGGGGGGGGGGGGGATGCAGCGGCTTGCATCAGAAGTGCCCCTGCGCCTTGACCTATGACTGCATGCAGGGATTAAGGCTTTCGGAGATGATTCTTATGCAAACCCTGACCCGTCAGGTGGCGCAGCTCTTCAACAGCCTGGCTGACGTCGAGGCATGGTTGCTATGGGCTTAGGATTCCAGTGGGGCACAGGAACCCCGGGCGGGACAACATACCAGACAAGTCTTCAGTAAGAACAAAGTCACAATGGCTCGTCAAGCTCGAAACTCTCAACCTTAAACCCTGAACCCTAAACCCTAAACCCAAAACCTATGAAGTAGTTTTCTGACCCCTGAGATGCTCAAGACGCGCAAGAACCCCTCATCCCTTCTTAGGGTTTCGGGCCCTAGACCCTAAACCTAACCCTAAACCCTTAACCTTATAGACCCTAAACCTTATAAACCCTGAACCCTTGAATCTGGGCCGCGAGGCGCGGCTGCTGTTCTTGGAAGCGCCTCGCCTTTCATGGACTTTCTCCTGGGCGGCCAGCAAAAGGTTTGTGGGTGTAGACTGCGAGTGAAAACGGGTGAACTAGAAAATTCTTGAGTCTCTATCCGATTCTACCCATCTATATATATATATATATATATGTATGGTGCCCCCCCCCCCATGTACCTACCATTTTTTGCTTATTTGGTTGCTTTTTTGTCTCGACGGTTTCGATTTTCGGCATTCTGCTTACGCGAACGACGAGGGAAGAGTGGCTGGCAGCACGAAATTCACGGATAACATCGGTATTACCAATGTTTTTCATAGATGAAGCCCGAAAACATCGGTAAAACCAATAATTTCCAAAAAATCCATGGTTTTCAAACCATGTGGCTGCGAGCACCCTAATCACGGATAACATTGGTTTTACCAATGTTTTTCATAGATGAAGCCCGAAATATTGGTAAAACCAAGAATTTCCAAAAATCCATGGTTTTCAAACCATGTGGCTGGGAGCACCCACATCACGGATAACATTGGTTTTACCAATGTTTTTTCATAGATGAAGCCCGAAAACATCGGTAAAACCAATAATTTCCAAAAAATCCATGGTTTTCAAACCATGGGGCTGGGAGCACCCAATTCACGGATAACATTGGTTTTACCGATGTTTTTGAAGGATGGAGCCCAGAAACATCGGCAAAACCAATGTTATCCGTGAATGTCGTGGTCTAAGCCACATGGTTTGAAAACCATGGATTTTATGGATAACATTGGTTTTACCGATGTTTTCGGGCTCTATCCTTCAAAACATTGGTAGAACCAATGATATCCGTGAATTGGGTGCTCCCAGCCACATGGTTTGAAAACCATGGATTTTATGGACAATATTGGTTTTGCCGATGTTTTCGGGCTCCATCCTTCAATGTTATCCGTGAATTGGGTGCTCCCAGCCACATGGTTTGAAAACCATGGATTTTATGGACAATATTGGTTTTGCCGATGTTTTTTGGGCCCCATCCTTCAAAAACATTGGTAAAACCAATGTTTTCCATGATTTTCGTGATCTGAGGCTCTCTCCCAGCCACCATCTCTCGAGGTAGTACCAAGCAACAAACTCGAATCCTGCAAAATCTCGAGAGAGTACCAAAACCTCCTTATAATCAATCACGCCCCAATACGCAAGACATGACATCTGTCCTAAAAACTATACGTTAGCTACGATATCTCAAACAATCATCCCCCGATAAGCAAGACCTAATGTCTACACTAAAACTGTACCTTTGCAACATATCTTAAGACATCACGCCCTAAGGCTCATACCAATTTAATAAGGTTCCTATCAATGTTAACAGGATTCTTATGCATGTTACTGGGATTCGCATAGGATTCTCATTAATTTTGAAGGATTCCCATTGGATTAGGCTCATACTAGTTTAGTAGGATTCCTATCAGTTCTTGTTAAAGGATTCTATTGTTTTTAAGGCCTATTGGTTCCTATTGATTTAGAAAGATTCCTTCTCGTTTTAATAGGATTCCTGTGAATTGTAACCCGGGTTCTTTCTAACTTGTTAAGGGTTCCTATTCATTTTAACAGGCTTCCTTCCTATTAGCTGTTGTCCGGCTCCGATAATTCAACAGAGGATTCCTATTTACTTTCAGAGGATCCCAAAAAAAGTTTCATAGGGTTCCTAATTATTAATAAGGCCCCTATGTTTTGTAATAAGAGTCCTATCAATTTTATTCAGATTCTTATTCGTGTTAATGGGGTTCGTGTTAATATTAAACTGGATCTCATTCACTTTCAAGGGATTCCTGTTGGTTTAGGCTCATGTTCACTTTAGGCGGATTCCTATTATTTTTCCAAAGGTTCACGTTCTGTCTTATAGGAGTCCGATTGGTTTCTATTAATTTGAGTAGGGTTCCTCTTCAGTTTAATAGGATTCCTATTATTCCTGTTAATTCTACGAAAATGTTGAGAGAGTACCAAAACCTCCTTATAATCAATCACGCCCCAATACGCAAGACATGACATCTGTCCTAAAAACTATACCTGAGCTACGACATCTCAAACAATCATCCCCCGATAAGCAAGACCTAATATCTATACTAAAACTGTACCTTTCATCACGCCCTAAGGCTCCTACCAATGAAACACGGTTCCTACCAATTTTAACAGGATTCTTGTGCTTGTTGCTGGGATTCGCATAGGATTCTCATTAATTTTGAAGGATTCCTATTGGATTAGGCTCATACTAGTTTAGTAGGACTCCTATCAGTTCTTGTTAAAGGATTCTATTGCTTTTTGAGGCCTACTGGTTCCTATTGATTTAGAAAGATTCCTTCACGTTTTAATAGGATTCCTGTGAATTGTAACCCGGGTTCTTTCTAACTTGTTAAGGGTTCCTATTCATTTTAATAGGCTTCCTTCCTATTAACTGTTGTCCGGTTCCGATACTTCAATAGAGGATTCCTACTTACTTTCAGAGGATCCCAAAACAAGTTTCATAGGGTTCCTAAGTATTAATAAGGCAATAAGGCCCTATGTTTTGTAATATGAGTCCTATCAGTTTTATTCAGATTCTTATTCGTGTTTATGGGGTTCGTGTTAATATTAAACGGGATCTCATTACTTTCAAGGGGTTCCTGTTGGTTTAGGCTCATGTTCACTTTAATCGGATTCCTATTATTTTTCCAAAGGTTCACGTTCTGTCTTATAAGAGTCCGATTGGTTTCTATTAATTTGAGTAGGATTCCTCTTCAGTTTAATAGGATTCCTATTTACCCTATTAATTCTACGAAAATATTCTCATTAATTGTGAGGGGCCTCCACTTAGTTTTAAGACTGCTTCCTGTTGACTTTGCGGCTCCGATTAATTTAAAATAGGGTTCCTATGGATTTAAATAGAGGATTCCCATTGTTGTTTCTAAGATTCCATAAAGTTGTCCCATTTGTTTTAGTAAGGCTCCTACAACTTTAATAAGGTTCCTATCAACTTCAGTATTGTTCTTTCTCATTTGAATAGGGTTCCTATTGAATTTATTAGTATTAAGGGTTCTCATTCATTTTAAAGGGTTTCTTATTCATTTTAATGAGAACCCTATTAAAATAACACGAACCCTATGAACCCTGTTAATTAAATTTGATCGGAACCGTACTCGAATGAATAGGATTCCTTTTGAAATCACAGCATGCAATCCACAAGCAAATTGTTCAGGTTTCCTCCATTGAATTGTTGTGGGACCCCCCCCCCCCCCCAAAAAAAAAAAAAAAAAAAAAAACGACCGCGCGTTGCGGGATCTTGGGGTGGAGGGGAGAGATAGGGAGAAATACAGAATATTCTATAAATTCAGCCCAAAAAGGGTAGGTACATCGGGGGGGGGTAGCATATGTATCTATGTATGCATATATATATATATACTTTTTCATATGTACATTGGTTAAACATGTGTATGTCTATGTAAAACTCCTGCTTTCAGTTTGCGCGGAGGCGATCTGGGGCGCACCCCATCCTCTATATGTCTGTCTGGCTGTCTGTCTCTGTGTGTGTATAGTGTAATAGTGCAGAGCATATGGGCCTAACGAGGGCTTTGAGTCCTGGGGTTTAGCGGTGGAGGGTCTTCGGGCTTTGGGTTTTAAAGTTGTTTTTGCTTGTCTTCTAAGGTTGTTTAGGGGTTTGTTTGTGTTTTGGGGTTTAGGTTTGAGCGCCTTCGGGTTTGGTGGGAAGGAGGAGAGGGGGAAGGGGGGTGGGGTTGTTGATACATGCAGTCCGACAGAGAGAGAGAGAGAGAGAGAGAGCAGAGAGGAGAGGGGAGAGAGGAGAGAGAGAGAGAGGGGGGGAGAGGGGGGAGGGGGAGAGGGGGAGGAGGGGGGAGAGGGGGAGAGGGGGAGAGGGGGAGAGGGGGAGAGGGGGAGAGGGGGAGAGGGGGAGAGGGGGAGAGGGGAGGGGGAGAGGGGAGAGAGGGGGAGAGGGGGGAGAGGGGGGAGGGAGGAGGGAGAGAGGGAGGAGAGGGAGGAGGGGAGAGAGGGAGAGAGGAGAGAGGGAGAGAGGGAGGAGAGGGGAGAGAGGGAGAGAGGGAGAGAGGGAGAGAGGGAGAGAGGGAGAGCGAGAGAGCGAGAGAGTGAGAGAGCGAGAGAGCGAGAGAGCGAGCGAGCGAGTGAGCGAGTGAGCGAGTGAGCGAGTGAGCGAGCGAAGAACATAGATGCATGCATGATTGTGGCGAGTGTTACGCGGCTGCTCTAAGCCCAGAACCGCGCCTAAAACGCTCAAACCTAGAGGCCCTCAGCTTCCTAAAGCCTCCCAAAGTCCCCAAAATCCCTTAAACAGACCCTGAGGCTGTAACAAAAAGGCGGCATGAATGAAGCTAGTGCCCTTTGTGTCCCCGAGGCAATGGCTGCCGACCTAAACCTGAAGTTGAGCCACGTGAGGCGACTCGGGCGGTTTAAGGTTTAAGGTGTAGGGTGTTGGGTTTTGGGTTTTGGGTTTGGGGTTTAGGTGGCGGCTCAGAGTTTGAGGTGTTTAGGGGGTGTAGGAACTAGGTTCTATGTGTGTGTGTGTGTGTGTTTGTTAATGTAGGGTCTTGGAGCTTACAGGATATTGGAGATTAGGATGTTTTTGGAGAGGTTTTGGGATTCAGATGTATTCTCAGGGCCGGGTGCCGCGTTGATCTGACGTCCCCTTCTCGGGGATCTACAGCCTTTATCATCAGTTTGGTAGTTTAGGGGTCCATAGATGTTGCGGGTGTACACCCCCAAACCCCAAACCCTAAGCACTAAACCCCAAACGTCAAACTCTAAACCCTCAACCCTAAACTCTGAACCCCAAACCATAAACTCTCAAACCTAAACCCTCAACCACCCGCTAAGCCCCAAACCGCAAATGAGGCACTGGCCTGGCAGTTCATCAGTTCCTGTACTTCAGAAGCCCCATAAGCCCTGAACTCCAGAAGCTATCGATACTTGGTAGCCCAGTGGTAGCCTTTACCCTTTAGTAGCTGGTTCTGGGTTCCCTTATCAAGTAACCACCAAACAAGTGGTACCCTTATCACAATATGTACGGTTTCTGGGCTGCTAAGCATAAGCCCCAAAATTAGGGTGTAGGGCTTAGCCACCCTGAGCCGAAACCTCAATTTCGGAGCTGGGGGCTTAGGGAAGATTTGGGTGTAAGGCCTAAAAAAAACTCTCTTCCACTTGCAAGCCCCGAGTCAAGAAGCCCCTCCACTTATACACAACCAGCAAAGCGTATTCAGGCCCTTAGGGTTTAGGGTTTAGGGTTTACCTGACAGGTATCTCTCAGAACTGGACCCCGTTCTGCGCCGCGGCTGCACAGCCTAGCAATGGCCACCTATTTCGGCTTTCCGAGGGGGTTCTTGGTTTGAAGCTTGGCAGTCCTAAGCCTATCCCCATGTCTGGGTGCGAGGTGCAAGCTTGAAAGAACACCTTCCCGAAACTCTCCGGGTCGCACACACTGAGCCCTAAAACTACCGCCGGTCCGTGACGAGTCGCAGCTTCAGCTGGTTCCCATAGCGTCGGAAAGCCTCAAAACCCAATGCCCTAAACCCTCAACCCTAAGACCCTACAAGCCCAAAACCCTAGAAACACCAAAAGCCCTGAAACCCTGGCCCCAATATCCCAAAACCCCCCAAGCTAACACCTGCAGCTCCCGTCTCACAATTCTATCTGCTCTGGACCCAGGCGTGCTGAGGTGGTGGACAGGCTGCTACCGGCGGTCCCAGAGATCAACACTCTAGGCCAGGGTTTGGGGTTTGGGGTTTGGGGTTAGGGTTTAGGGTTTAGGGTTTAGGGTTTAGGAAGGTCAGGAAGTAGCTAAGTAGAGCATGGAAGGATCTGCTATTTCGCCTGTGGGAGTTAGTTGAAGAGGAAGGATCTCAATCATTTATGAATTTTCTGGGGATTTTGAGGGCCAAGCTGGCTAGGGTTGAGGGTGGTTCGGGTCCCTCCAATATTGACAGCCGGTGTTTTAGATCCGAGAAGCTTCATGCTTCTTGTGCTAGCTGGGGCCTTCGCTCACAAAGCCATGCATCGGGCTATTCTGTTCACGGAAGAAATGTGCTGGCATGGTGGGGCATGAGGTCCCAAGAACAGGCCACAGGCCATGACACCACCCTAAACCCTAAACCCTAACCAAAAACCAATAAACCCCTAACCCCTAAAGCCCTACACCCTAAACTCTGAACCTTAGCATATCAGACCTTACAAGAAGGTTTGCGCGCGCCGCAGGCGGTTTCGACCTTGCTGTCAACTCCGTCCACCAAAAGGCCGGGAGAGTGAGTTTAGGGTTTAGGGTTTCAGGGTGTAGGGTTTCTAGGGTTTCAGGCACATTCGGGGCTTAAGGGCTGTCAGGGCTTACTTGTTTAGGGCTTTCGGGGCGTTAAGCGGCACAGACTTAGGGCCGTTAATGGCCATTTTAGGCTCTTTCGGGCTTAGGGTTGCTCCGTTCCTTATATCCGAATCCTTAATCTAAGCATTGTTACATGGCCCCGTGGTATGGTTAAGCGGGGAACTCCTTCTATACCCCTGAGATGCCTGATAAAACCCGAGGGCCCATACTTCAGAACCCTTTAAGCAGGATAAGGGACCCTTAGCCCTAAACCCTAGGCCCTAAACCCGTTTAAGTACCCTTGGACGCAAGCTTGCTTTGACAGGCGTCGCTTTGCCGGGATCGGGCCGCGATCGTCAACCTGCTTCTCTTCAACCCTGCATGCTGCTCTGATGCAGCCTCGGTTTACCCTGAAAGGTTTATGGTTCGTTGAAATCATATGGAAGCCCCAAAGCCAGAGTTTAGGGATTATAGGGTTTGTAGGGTTTATAAGATTTAGAGTTCAGGGTTTAGGGTTTAGGTTGAGGGCCCGTGCATCAAGCTTCGAAGTAGCCCTTCCAAAGATAAGCCCTCAAGCCGAGGTGCCGATGGACGCTACGAATTCGATGCCCGCTGCTGAGGGGTTCTTCCCAAAGCTTTAAGAGGTAGGGTTTGGAGTTTAGGGTTTAGGGTTTAGGATTTAGGAGAAGGCTTCTTCAGGTCGAAGGGTTTGGAGTCATCCGAAGGATTCTTCTCAATCAGCGTCCCTTGTTGTGGGACTCCTTCGCAAGCATGTACCTACCTAGCATACGCACGGGCCCCGGGCCCCCAAAGTCATTCTATAGGATGTGCTTTAAGCAGCCCACCTGTGCGCTCATTGTTAGGTACATGGACCCTCAAGGGGCTTGTGCTTAAAAGATACGGCCTGGAGGACACCTCATCAGCACCTCATACTGTGGGGTTCTGCCCACGGCCGGTAGGACTAGCGAGCTTGTTGTTATACCGGCGAGTGCGCGGAGACCCTAGAGGGGCTCTTTTGCTGAGGCGCCTAGAACGGGGAGGCATGTACCCCAAAGTTGCCATGTCTGCTCCCTAAACCCCAAACCCTAAACCCTAAACCCTAAACCCCAAACCCTGGGCAAGGTAACGGAGCCAGCACATCGAAAGATGCTGGACGATCTGATCATCGTCAACCACTGGGAGCGCATCATGGCAAGCACGTGGGGGGGTGGTTCAACCTGTGGCTCCCTTTTTGGGGGGCCACCCCCTATAGGATGCCCAGTAGTACTCTTATTCCCTTTTTGGGGGGGGTTTTGGTTCCCTTATAAACCCCTTTAAGCAAAAAAGGGCACCCTTTTTAAGCCTAGGTTACTGGGCAGCCTAGCCCCAAGTCCTAAACCTTCGGGAGGGAAGGTGGAGGGGGGGGGGGGGTGGGGGGACCGGAATGCCAAAAAAAACGTTGGAGCTCCTACAGTGGCTCAGGGGCGGCTCCCAGCTGTATCAAAGCCGTACTGACAAGCAACCCTTTAAACCCTCAACCCTTTCTGGCTAAAACCCCAAGCCCTATGTACCCTGTGTACACTAATCCCTGAACCCTCTACCCTAGTAGCCATAGTACCCTTCACGCCCTTGCAAACCCCGCCAAACTTGGAACCTTAATAACCCGAAGGCGATCGTGCGAAAAGATTGGGCCGGCCGGACCTGAGCAAGCATGGAGTGCTCCGGCCAGCAACTTGAGGTGTGAGGGCTACGGTACCTTACGGGTTTAGGGCTTGGGGTTGGGGACCTAAAGGGGTTTTATGGTTCATATACCTTTATCGAAATCATAGTGGCATAGGGTATATATGTATATGTATATATATATATATATATATCTAGGATGCCCAGTGGTGCCCTCGCCCATATCCTTGGGCGGTGTAGCTCGGTGAGCTTGCAATGAATGCAAGCCTTATGTCGATGTCAGATCTTTAGGGTTTAGTGGGCGGATGTCGGTTTCAGGGGGTGGTTCTTTACGTGTGGGGTGAGTCCTGGGGGTTTTCGTGGTTGAATTCCCAGATGTGCTAAGCGGGACCCTAAACACTAAATCCTAAACTCGCAACGAGATAGCTGAGGACCATGAATGCATCCGGAACTGCTCCGTCAACGGCAACCGTCGCGTTTGGAGGCCCGAAATTTAAACCATAAACCATAAGCTCTAAACCCTGAACCCAAAGCCCTAAGCCCTAAACCCTAAACCCATCCCCAAAATGCCAAGCCCCTACTATGGGCCCTGAGCCCGAAGCCCTGCACGTAAACCATGCCCCGACATGCCCACCCGAATCAACGGCCCTAAGCCCTGCAAGCCAGGGTGTTGCTAGCCCGGAAGAAAAAACCCTAAAACCTATAAACCCTAAACCCCTAAACCCCTAAACCCCTAAACCCCTAAAAACCTAAACCCCTAAACCCCTAAACCCTTAAGCCCTGCGATTCTTTGCAGGAGTGCCGATGTTCAGCTGCCTCCCAGAGCCGAGATCAAGTTCGACTACTGCTCCCCATTTCATCCGCCGCAAGGCCGTTTTTTGGGGCTTGGGGTTTGGGGTTTAGGGTTTAGGGTTTAGGGCTCTACATCATAAGAAGTTTCGGAGCGCAGCTTGAGTTGCAATCTGTAACATGTCAACCGCACGTCTCGAAGCAGCGCGGGTCGATGCTCATCGAAATGGCGCCAAACGCACATGAGTAGTCTTTAGCGTGTGGTGTTGAGGATGTAATTTGGGTAGGGTTTGGCCCTAAACCCCAAACCCCAGACCCTAAACCGTGGCAGGAACGCCGAGCACGCCCGATCGGACTGTCCGCCTGCTGAGACAGGCAAGTCCATGGGGTGCAAGTTTCAAGTTCGGGGTGGTTTAGGCTTTTGCGCCCCTTCCAATTCTCCCAAACCACCCTCAACCGTCCCTACACCCCAAACCTGCCGGAATCCCTGAACATGCCTTGGCCCCGCAAAAGGGCCGTGATCTTGAGGGTTTTGTTTGAGGACTTTGCTCTCAGGATTCGACACCTAAACCCTGAAGTCTATCTCGAAAGTTCGCGCAGACCTGAGTTGAGTTTGTTTACGGTTTCGATGGGTTTCGAGCTTCAAAAACGGCTAAACCCTACAACCCCTCAACCCTGGAGGTTTTCAGGGCTTGGAGGTTTTGATAGGGCAAACGGATGTCTGGGTTCAGGGAGTGTAGGGCGCAGGGGGTTTAGGATTCCAGGATTGATTCTTGGGGTTTGGCTTTAGGCCATTTCGGGGTTTACGAACATAGGGGACCCCGAATATAGACCCCCAAATAGTAGGATTCCCTCATAATAAGGACCCCCGGCTCAGGTACCCGAATTTTAACGCTACGCGACCCGCCTCGGCCTGTCCCAGTGCATGGCGTAGGCTGCATGAGCAAGAAGCCGACGTGTCCTGAACCCCAAACATTCAGAATGACAACCCTAGCACGGCGTGGCAGAGCTGGGTTTAGGGTTGAGGGTTTAGGGATTAGGGATTAGGGTTTGACGGTTGAGTGCTTAGGGCTTAAGGTTGTCTGGAGCTTCGAGTTCGTGTCAAGGTTCCAGCTTAAACTCTTCGGCTCGTGTCACTTAATTTGCGGCCGTGCTCACACCAGTTGAGCCCCCGGCCCTCAAGCCAGCGCGTCGGAGCAGGAAAACTCCGCCTTGGGGGGGGGGGGG